GCAGACAGACTCCTTTCCTAAGTGCAACTTTAGGAGATCCAGCTCTGGATGGCTATATAAATTCAGCTTTGGTAAATTGACCCTTCACTGCTTTGTTCTCACGCAGGAAGGCACCATCAGGCACAAAATATTCACATCTTCCTGCAACTCGGGCTTCTACCAGAAGTCAGGAAAAAATAATCCTTAAAATTAAATGTACCTATAATCCCCTACCAACTGTCAGATCCATCAACTGGCTCTTTAGAGCTGTCCAGCCACAAAAATACACAGTTATCTGCTGGGGTAATTCCACAATTCCTCCATGCAGCACAGACAAACGGCCAGGAACCACCCTTCGCCTTATCAACGAAGATACCTCGCCCCACGGGCAGCCCACACCTAGATCTCACATTTGTAACCCCACTGCGGTTCCGTGCCACCGTCTGCGACTTGAGCGTGGTCTGCTCCACCCGCTTGCGCAGCGTCTCAAACTCGTTTTGGGGGTCCAGGATCAACAGGCAGGGGTAATCCGTTGGGCGCTGGAAGAACGCCATGTCAGGGTACAGCCTCCTACGATGGACACAGGAGGACATCAGGCACAAGAAGAAGGAAGCACACGTCCCGAGCCAAACAGAAAGTTCAGTTTAATATTAAACTTGATTTTCAAAGTACAAAGTATTAACCAAACCACTCTGGTTCAGAAACCCGAGTCGTTATGCGTCACATACCTGACATCTTTGTCTATCTGGAGAAGCACTTCATTATCCTTGAAGTAAGTATTCCATCGGCTGTCTGGGTTTGGATTGAGGGGCTAAAGAAATAAACAACAGAAACAGAACCAAGCATGTTTCGCAGATACCAAAGCCCTCAGTAAACACACACTGATTTAACATTTCTGCCGTCCCTGTGTCAGCTGGTACCAGCACACTCCTAGCACATCAGGATTAAACTCTTCTCTTGTTTAGTGCTGCTTCTTCAGACAGTACGCACAGCACAGGAAGCAGGTCAGAGCTTGAAAAACAAGTGAGCATGCACGTTCACTCAGGCAGAAGCCAACATTTCCAATCCTTTTTCACCTGCCTCTTAGTGACTTTGCTCCCAAACCAAGTATCCTGTTCTCTGTCAACAAGATTCTTGATTGCAACTCCAACCTGTCTAACATAGGCGGTCTTTGTACTTAGCACAAGAGTTAACCACAAGTGTTGTGTGGGTGGGTAGGAGTTACAAGCTTACCCCGCTATCTCAGCTCTGGAGAAGGCTGATTAAACATCACTGTTGTGCCCAGGATAAAGGAAATACATTATTAACACAAACAACCTATCCCCTGTGCCATCCGTTTTCCAGTATTACAAACTCAGCTCCCCCTCCCCTCTGTGCACTTGCTTCTCTCCAGATCAAGGCTCAGTAAAACCTAACAGTCAGCTGAGAGAGAAGAGGAAAAAAAAAAGCTCCAAGAGATCCAAAGATCACTGTAACCTGCCAGTGCATGGAATGTTACAACAGTGATGGTTTTATAGCACCAAGGCTTCCAGAGATCACAGCAGCACAGCTGACTGTACACTAGCAGAGAAGTTTACGTTCAGGATAAGCCATAGAAGCAGTTGTGTTATTTTACAGCCTCCTCTGACCAGTTACTTCATCCCCTGCCTGGACACAAACTTAATGGCACTTCCAGAGAAGTAAAAAAGGATGCTGGAAACAGTCAACACATAAAAAAAAAAGTCAGTCATCAGCAGAATTGGAAATAAATTCAATCTCCTGCCTCCTGTGCTATAGTCCAGCTCAACTCTGCTGCCTCTTCTACAACCTCAGCCTGTTCTGAGCCCACCCATGGACAGAGCTTCCCAGGAAAGCATCTCTTTGGTAGAGCAACTTCTCCGAGCCTCTCTTCTTCCCTAGGAGACCCACAGGCTGGACAGTTAGCCCCAAAAGAGAAAACAAGATACATCCATAGCTGAAAACAGCTTCGTAACTATTGGTGCTCTGCCAGTAATTCACACTAAAGGCTACTAAGACACAGATGCAGGGCTGGTACCTAGGAACCATCCCTCCTGCTAACAGGGCAAAATGCTCTGAGAACAGAAACAATAACAGCATAGCAGTCCAGACTCCAGAACAATGTATAGCTCTGGGGAATTTCCTTCAACATGAAGGATAACCGCACTTACGTGATCTTCTAAGGTCACATCTTCCCTTGATACACCCAGGTTGGCTTTGGCGATCCCAGGCTGGATGATCATTTCTTTTAGGAACTGGGAATACAGATCCCTTAAGGGGGGAGAAGAGGAATTTGTTTTGAAGCAGAGGATTACATCAACGTAAGCACCTGGACTGAGCTCAAACAGACATCCCTGCACCACTTTGCTCAGCCAGAAAGCATTTGATCTTCTCTTCAGTTGAGTTCAACTGAAGAGTTCAATCCACTGACCCCAAGAGACAGACTTCAGAACAGCGCATTCCACACGAGAACAATTCAATTTATGAAGGTACTCAATTATTTAAGGAACCATTCCCCTTCTCCATAGATACCGTCAGAACTAAAGGAGCAAGCACAGATGTCCTCACCTCTGCTTCTTCAGCAAAGAGCTCCATAAGGCTTTCTCTAAAGGGAGGTAGTTCAGGAGTATCTGTACAGAAAACAGACGCACACACGTTAGTGTTTGGAGCATGAGCTATCAGACCTGTAAGATGAGCAAACCAAAATACGGGGAGTTATCTCCATGAGGTTTAGATCTTTGCCAAATAGCAGCCAGGAATGTTTCAGGGACTGGTTTTCGACACAGGCCTACTCAGAGCGTTGATCAATAGCAAGCGGGAGTGAGGCACGCTCCCAGGCTGTCCTGCGGGCTGTGCTCACGCAGGGAGCAGCCAGCCAATGTACATGTCGTTAAAACCCTACTGTCACCGCGCCAGTGCTGACCCCACAAATTACTGCCGATTCAGAGCGCCTTTTAAGATCCCCATCGCTAATTTCTGTTAGCTCTGAGAGCTCCAGAACCCCGTGTGCACACTTAAGGAACCCAAAGCTGGCGAGACACGAAGCGCCCCCAAGCAGCACCCACCTTCCAGCAGAGGCAGCGCAGCCCCCCATCGAAGGGAATTCCTGTGGAGGGGCAGGCAGAGAGACAACCGTTAGCCCAACCGTAGCCGACCGTAGCACCTCAACCCGCGCCCTGCGCGCCGCCACCGCCCCGACCCCCACCTCAGGATTTGGGCACTCACCGCTGAAGCACAGCTCGCGGAGCTTGCCCAGGGCCACCGTGGGCTCGCCCAGCACCTCCTGGAAGTCGGCGATGCTGAGGGGAGGCGGGGGGGGAACCGTTAGCAACGGGCGGGTACCGCAAACCCCCTCCCCAGCCCCCCAAATCCCCCCTCACAACCTGCCCCCCCCCCCCCCCAGGTCCCCACCGGCTCTGGTGCAGCCGCGACATGGCGGCACCGCTCCGGCTGGAAACACGGCCCGAGGGGGCGGGGCTACGCAACGCCCCGCCCACCACCCCGCCTATAACCCCGCCCATTCGCTCCTCGCCACGCCCATCATGGGTTAGGCCACGCCCATTGTGTGCTAAGCCCCGCCCACCCCACTAAAAGCCCCTCCCCGCAGGGAGAACGGAGCACGAGGAGGGGGGGGGGGGAGTGGGGGCGGAACGGGCCCGAGGGGGCCAACCCGGAACGTTCCGGGCCCGGCCGCTGTTTCCCGGGGGGAAGCGGTGGCGGAGGCTCCTCCTCCGGTGCGGCGGCCCCCGGCTGGCGGAAGTGACGGCGGGGTTTGTTGACAGCGGAGGCCGCGGCGGCGGCGGCGGCGGCGGCGGGGGGAGGGACGGGGGGGCCCCGAGCAGGAGGAGGCCGAGCCCGAGCCCTGCCCGCCGGCCCCGGCCCTCCGCAGGGGGGGGGGCTCTGGAGCCAGGTGAGTCCCGTTCCCGGCCCCACAGCCTCCGAGGTACCGGGAAGGGAACCCCCGGTGTGTGTGTGTGGGGGGGTTGGGGGCAGGGCCCGGGGCTGTCAGCGCGGGGGGGAGGGTGAAAGGGTCAGGGGGGGACTGGGCCCAGCCCGGGGACCCCGGGGAGAGCCCGGCCCGGTAGGCACGGGGACCCCCCCCCCCACCGGGATCCCGGCCCCACCGACACGCTGGGAGGTTGTGGGCACGGGGCCGGGGCCGTGCTGGGGGCTGGAGCTTCCCCGGCCAGCTGCGGGGGGAGAAATGAAGAATTATAGGAGGAGAAATGAATAACGATGGGGGGACACATGAATAATTGCCCCCCCCCAGCTGGCAGCTGGAGTGACAGTGCAGTTTTCCCTCAAAACGCGCCCCGGGCCACAGCCTGCAAACACAGCGCAGGGATTTTTGGAGCCGTGCCCCTCCACACGCGCTCTGTGCCCTCTCTCTCTCTCCTTGGGCACGGTCCCGGTGCTCCCCAAGTCGGTTTTGCCCCTTGTCCGTGTGGCAGCGCCGTGAAGGCTCCGGCCTTGGCATGGAGCCACCGTGAGTCAGGCTTGGCTTCGGGCAGCGGCCCCGGAGGGAGATACCGGGGGAGAAGCCGGGTCTCAAGTCCAAGGTAGGGAACGTTGGCACGGGCAGCCCGAGGCCGCCGCCAAGGCTCACGTGCCCGCAGAGCCAGAAATGATGTAAAACTACCAATGTAGGCTGCAAATAAGCAATACTTGCCAGAGAGGCTGGCTGGATGTGGAAGGCTGGTGCTGGGGGTGAGCAAAGCTGCGTGGCGTGGTGCTGCAGTTTCTTTTGGGACCCACAGCTGGAGGGAGGGTGCTGTTACTCCGTGGAGGAGGCTGCTTCTGGGGTCAGCCGGGTGTGCAGGCTTCGAATGCCCACTGCAGCGGCTCCCAGGGCCTTGGTTCCTTCGTGCATTGACACAGAAGCGAAAGCTGCCCAAGAAATAAATGGTAAAGAAGATTGGCAGCTGTACTTCTGACTCATTTCGATTCCTGCAGTTGAATTTTCAGCATCCTTCACGTATTTTTGACCCTCCAAGAACACACACGCACAGGACAGCTCATTACCCATCGCTGGGCTGCACTGGCGACAGTCTGCAAGGCAGGCGACTTGCAGATCTATTGCCTGTGGAAAGCTGCCCGAGGATAATGATTAGGCAAACGCTAATGGTTTGTCAGCATATCTAGTTCATTTATTTTTATCACCAAAGCACACCAAGCTTATATCTAGAGCCAATACCGATCGGTGCAGCTATCGACTTCCTTACTTCCCTCTCCCCCTGCCTCCATCACCTCTCAAGTCCAGTTTGAGGAGGCCAGGACCAGTTTGTCTCGTGTCCCATACTAAAGGGCCACAGGTGCAGCAGCAGCTCAGGTGCTACTCGAATACACGCAGTAAATCACGAGGATGAATGCTTCTCTTTGGGGTTATTTTACTGGGGCGCTTTCCTCTGCGCTAGCTTCCTGCACGGGATTTTGTTGGTAGATTTTGGGAAGGTCAGAAGTTAACGTGGGATTTCTCTAGGGCTAGGATCAGCCAGCTGCATCGTGCTGGCCACGGCAGAGGGGCACAGAGGATCGTCAGAGCAACAGGAAGGCAGCCTGTGCCCTTTAGAGTTCTAAGCTGCTTGGACAAGCCCCAAGCACTGACCATTTCCAGCTCCACGTGACAAAAGGTTGTCAATGGGGGTTTGTTTCCAAGTTCTCTGGCCAGCGGTAGGAAGCCAGGGAAGAACACTGGCTGCAGGGACCTCCCGTCTGGTGGCACGGGTGAACTGGTAGGGACAGCAGAACACGTTTCCCTGCTGGCTCAGATCTTCCTGTTCATCTTGCCTTTCTGGAAAGATTCTCTCCAGCAAGCTTCAGGCAAAATGTGTGAGAGGGACTCGTTCTGGAGCTGAAGCAGATCTGTCTCCAAAGCAGACACCACGCAGGGCACAGGACAGCTTCCTCCCACCTGCATTCCCTCGGTTGGGACCTCACCACTGGCCAGGCAATTCTCTGCCCTCAGCGGCACATTTCACCCTTGGCTTCTCTCCTGACATAACTACAAGAGGGACAGCTGTTGATCAGGGATTTCCTTCTTTTTTCAGGATGAAAACCCATCTTACTCATTTGTGCTCCTTGTGACATGCATCTCAAAGGTCTCCAAGTTACCGTGGCACCCCTAAGTCATCAATTTTATGTTATCACGACGCTAGCTCAGGGCTCAGTGACCCAGAGAGAGACTGCACCCTTTAAACTGTCTCTGATCAGCACATCAAGTACATTTTTGGTGATTGCTGGGTTTTATTCAGTTTTTTCTCTGCATCACCTGCTTGTGCTCGGAGACCTTTTCCGTCTTGCGTGAAAACCAGCAGAGAACCTGCTTGAGATCCCCACTGGAAAAGCTATTGAAAGTTCTAGGTCAGAACACAGTGGGCCAGGAATTTGGGACTGAAGCAAAATCATTACAGCTGCCTGCATGTATAGTTCCCAAAAACACTTAGAGGAAGAAAGAATTATTGAAACAGTTCAAGTAAAGCCAAAAGGCAACCAGGGTTCAGTCCCAGCATTGTCAACTTACCCTAGAGCAAGATTTGGCCCAGGGAGACGAGGCTTAGGGTAGGTGTTCCTCAGGTGTAATCCAGCACTGCAGTTCCTCCATCGCCAAGTAAGGAGCAACTCTGTTGATCTTGCTCACTTTTTGAGGCTCCTTCCTGCCTTGGGTTAATTCCTTGGCCAACTTCTTGTCCTTGGCACTGAAACACACTCAAAAAAAAGAATTACTGAGACACAGAGGGAAGAAAAGAGCTTTGATTTGCAACTTGTGTTGCCCTTGTGTCTGCACAGAAATCCATTCTGCAGCGTAGGGAGGGATCAGGAGGCCAGGAGCCTCAGTCAGGGCTGTGCTGCTGTCTCCCACAGGGACCATTTGGTGCCTGAATTTGAATTTGCCTGAAATTCTTGCATCGTGTGCAGCTACTGCAGGAACGAAGGGAAGAGAGCACCAGAGGCTTTAGAGGAACACTCAGAAGCAGAGAGCTAGAGACAGACAAGCGCCCCAATCCTTGCAGCTGCAGGATAAAGATCAGAAACGGCATATAGTTAGGCATTTTGCAACAGCTTCCCCAGCAAAGGCTGCTCAGCTGTTGTGCAGAGGAGAATAACTCCATAGCATTCAGTGTCCTCACTGCAGTAGGGACACACCTATTGAAAAAAAAAACAAACACGTGTTTATTTCCTCAGAAATAAACATTTCAACACAGTTCTTGTATGCTCATGGAAACGTATTGAAGGGTTCACATTAGGGTTGTTTCTAACGTGATTTGACCCTTTTGAAAGTGAAACAGGAGTTGCTGTTCTTCAGTCATTTCTCCTAAACACCGTCAGTGCACTCAGCTAGGGCTCCTTCGGTGCCAGCAAGCAAGCAAGCCTGAAAAGCAGAGCCAGGAGATTTTTGAAACAAGAAAATGGACAGAAATAGCCTCCCCTGACTGCCTGCCTCGCCATCCTTCTTCATCTGGTGCTAAAAACCAAGAAGAGGAAAAAGTCCCTCGCCTTTTTCCCAGTCAGTTGCCTGTACTTTTTTTCTAACAGAATTTGGAACGTTTTAGGTGAGCAAGTTCCAGCTGCACTCATCGATGTCCTTCACGTGCATAAACCTTTTCGCTGCGCTCAGCAAGGGAAGCCAAAGCAGTCCATGTGCTTCCCTCTGGCTTCTGCTCCACTTCATGGTCTAGCTCAGGGACTTGCACGAAGCTTCTGGCTTGGAGCTGCAGAGAAGCACCCAGCTTGAACTTCACTTGGAACGATGGCCAACAATTACAGGCACGAGATACGGGGCCACCAGGTCCCACTGGGGCTGCACAAAGGATCTTCCCAACAGTAAATTTTCTGGTGGTTTATCCGAGCCACTCTGAAGGAAACCAAGCACTGTGGTTTCTGCCACTTCCCTTTCAGAGGCCCTTCGTCAGCCAGATAACTCCTGCCATGAGGAAGCATTTTCTTGCTGTGTCGCCTCATTTCCAAACATGTTTCATATTAACTCATTCCCTCGGTGTCCCCTGGGGGTGGGGTTGCCAAGGAATTAAGTCCCAGAGAGGCCAAAATGCTGCAGGTTCTTTTGAGGTCAGCAAGTGATGGGCTGTAAATAAACCCATCAACATCCTCGCTGGTACAGCAGCTTTGCAGGATGCTTTCCAGTGTGCCTTTCTCAATGCCTTTTTTTTGTTCTTCCTCCTCTGCTTATAGCTGCCCTGATGTCTCTGTAAATCCATCCTGGGATTTCGTTTGAGGAAAGGATCTTCTGAACCAAAAGCTTCCTTCTGTCCTTCCCCTGCCCACTGCTTCCCTCAAGATGGCATCCGACAGCCCGGAGTCGCTAATGACCTTGTGCACAGATTTCTGCCTTCGCAACTTGGAGGGGACTCTCTGCTACCTGCTGGACAACGAAACGCTCCGACTCCACCCTGACATCTTCTTGCCAAGCGAGATTTGCGACAAACTTGTCAACGAGTACGTCTCAGGGCTGTGGGGAAGCGGTTGTATGGTTTGGAAAGGAGCTGGGAGGCTTGGGGAAGGAGGACCGTGGTTTTCTAAAAAGGAAAAAAAAAAAAGTGATGGAAAGCATACAAGGAAAAAAACAGGGAGGAATTCATAGGGCTGTTTTTGCTGGTTTAGCCTCAAATTGGAAATAAGGATGTGCATTAAATTCAGAAGGAACTATCCCCAGGGGTTACTGTAGTCCTGCCAGTCACCATTTCCATATAGATAACCCCAGATAGCAATGAGCAGTCGCTGCTTCTTCCAAGAACATCAGTGAGCAACAAAGGAGCTTTCCTACTTCCCACCACGGCAGCATTACAATTCTCTCCCAAACCAGAAAAATAAGAGTGCAAAGTGCTAACAGATGTTGCATTTTAGGGCAGCTGCTCCCATAGCTTCACAAAGCAACCTGTTTCCAGGGATTTCTAACTTGGCTATCACAGTTTCTCTTGGCTGAACTCCTGCCCACAAAGTCTGGCAGAAAACTGGCTAGATAATTTTCTGAAAATGAAAAAATCAAGTTAATAGCTTTAAACAGGGAGGAAAGAAAAATCCCGGAGTCTGTGCTTGCCAGAAGCCGGTTTGCTCAGAAATACACATGACCTTGCACAAATCTTTGCCTTAGATTTTCCTAAGGAGCGTTAGCTTTGTGCAAAAAGAGATAATAGCACGTTTTGCCACGACCAGTGAAGGTGCTAGGGCTGTACCTGAGCCTTTGCGTTGTGCTGTGCTAATGCCATTGCCCTAATGCAGGTATGTGGAGCTGGTCAAGACGGACAGCATCTTCGAACCCCATGAAAGCTTCTTCACCCTGTTCTCTGATCCCCGGAGCACCAGGCTAGCTCGGATCCACTTGCGGGAACAGATCGTGCAGGACCAGGACCTGGAGGCCATCAGGAAGCAGGTGGCATTGCCGTGACAGCACTGCTGCATGGGGAACGGGCATTCAGAGATTCCCAGGATTGTATCCAAGTTTATTGGGGGAAAACCTCAGCATCTCCATCCTCAGCACCCTAAGGGCTGCTGTAGGGAATGGGCTGGGGACACTGGTCGGGTCTGGTGACACGTGGTCTCAGGCTGTCCTGGTGTGAGGTGTTGTAGGGAGCAGGGTGGGCTCTCTGCCTGTGAGAGGTTTCTAACTGTTCGATTTTCCATCTTCCAGGATCTTGTTGAGCTCTACCTGACTAACTGTGAGAAGCTGACAGCCAAGAGTCTGCAAACCTTGGTGAGCTTCAGCCACACGCTTATCTCCCTTAGCCTCTTTGGATGCTGTAATATCTTCTACGAGGAGGAAAACCCTGGAGGCTGTGAAGATGACTGTTTGGTGAACCCCACTCGCCAGGTTTTGGTCAAGGACTTTACTTTTGAAGGCTTTAGCCGCTTGCGCTTCCTGAACCTGGGTCGTTTGATTGAAGGGGTAAATGTGGAGACGTTGCTTCGGCCTCTGGCCTCCCTTGCAGCTCTTGATCTCTCCGGGATCCAGCTGAACGATGTGGGATTTCTGACCCAGTGGAAGGACAGTCTGGTTTCCTTAGTGCTTTACAACATGGACCTTTCAGAGGAGCACATCCAAGTGATTGCACAGCTCCACAAGCTCAGGTCAGCAGATCTCTTTTTCCTTCTTTAGCTTTTCCCCATCGATAGGAGCCACGCAAGTCTCTTGGGGGTGGGCTACCTGCCTGCTGAGGGAGAGCCATCTGCTGCTGGCTTCAGGTTATAAACCCTCCCATGAACGGACTCTCTGAGACTCACTGTGCACTGTTTGACATGGGGGAAAATTAAATAAATATACACACACAGAAACATATCCACTCTAACCAAACAGAAAAAGAACAGCAGAACACCCAAGATGTGGGGAAAAATGGCTACGGATGTATACAGATACCAGTTCAGTGACAACCACACTGTGAAAGTCAATCCTTCATACCACTTGTTAAACGGGAACATCCAAAGTTCAAAACTGGCTCTGAGATAAAACTCAGAAAGCTCTCAGCTCCGACCATCTGCTCGCTGTGCTTTATGTAAGCGCGCTGTAGATGGATGGTGCAACCGAGGAAAAAAGCAGCGTAAATAAATAGGCACTCCTGACCTAACAGTGTTGACAGTGAAATGACTTCCTGAAACAGAGTCGAGACAATTGCTATTCAAACTGCACAGTGGTATCAGGAACAAGACCTGAGCCAAAAAGCAGGGCCCTAGCATTCACATGAAGCATACTTTGCAATGCCTTCAGTATTGTCTGCACAGACTGCAGGCACTAGGGGGTACTGGGTTAACATGTGTCCTAGGAGAACCTCCTGGGTATCACTGGTTAAATCCTAATGACTTCGTTTGCCTGCTGGTGATTTGCGATGAAACTTGGTTCACAACATGGAGAAAACACTTCTGAAAGTAGGAAGTTGGCTCCTGCCTTAAGCGGTTTAGTCTCTCCCAAGGGGTCTTCACTCAGCAGGCAGGAGCATGCCCTGCCCTATAAGGGACCCCACTTGCACATGGTAGCCAGTTAGTTTGCCCCACAGCTCCCTTAGCAGCAGGGGTTTCCCCTGGGTTTAAGCATTTAAATACTGCTTGGTACATGAAATGAGAGTAATAGCCTGGAGTGGAAAAAAAAAAAAAGATTGGGGAAGCAGACAAAAACTTGTGTAAATTAATTTGTGGGATGAGGCAACAAATGTTTCTGGGAATGCAAAGATCCTCTAGTGCATCTTAATCACCAGGCTTTGATGGAGCTTGGGAAAGGCAGTTCCTGAGCCTAGAGCAATTTCCTTTGTGATGGTGTGGCCGAGTGAGTCATTGTGCTCCATTTTAAGTAGACCTCTACCAGATACCTGTGTGCTTCGGTTAGACACAAGGCCAGATCCTACAGAACCACATTCCTGTATCTTAGGAAGGGAATAATAACAACAATCACACTTGGCTCATCACTTTCCCCAGTAGAGTCCTATTTTAGCTACCAGCTGATGCTTTCCAGACACTGAGCTGCTCTCTGTCATTTGCAGGCACTTGGATATCTCCCGCGATCATCTGTCCAGTTACTACAAATTCAAGCTGACCCGGCGGGTTCTAAACCTGTTTGTGGAAAACTTGCTAAACCTCACTTCGCTCGATATCTCAGGGCACACCATGTTGGAGAACTGCACTATCCCAAGCATGGAAGAGAAGATGGGCCAGACAAGGTAAGGAAACGGCAATTACCAAGGTCAGCTTGGATGGCTGGTTCAGGTCAAAGATGAATTAAGGATGCTTCCCTCTTCTGGCCTTCCAAATTTGGTAGATCTAATTAAAGCAAGATACAACTGTTCCTAGTTCCTCCTGATGCTAAAGACTAGTATGGGAATCAGCTGTGTTTTCTGTATGTGACACAAGTAAGGACTGCAGAAGTAATAAATTCATTCTACCTAGCTTCCATACATAACTGAAGAAGCTCTTTTCTACACACATTCTTCTAGGGATCACTTGCAATGGTTTAATAGATCTAAAAGGACTCCAGGGCCCTTTACGCATTTTCCATATAAAACATTTTTACCTTCACTGAAATGAGGCTTTTCTGAGACAAAACACTTCTACACTAAGTCAACACATCAGTGTTCACAGGAGGGCAGAGTGTTTTCAGAACTTAGAATTTAAAGGCAGATTTTCAGACGCGACCTGGATGCTGGGCAAACTAACCTTTGAAAATGCTGGTCCACCTCAGTAGGACATACTTAGAGATGTGGTTTTCCAGGTCAGCTAAGAGCTCTGCCCTACTGTTCTGCAAGCACTCAAGTGCAAAAGCAAACAAGTGAGACAGTACTGACTCTTTTCCAAAGCTGGTAAAAAAAAATAAATTATAATACTGGCTCTTGGTCAATAAGGAACATGGCAGCAAAACAAGTGTTCTTGCATAAACATACCGGTCTGCTTCTGTGATCATCACAGAAGCACAGACACACATGACAGAAGCACATGACACACAGACAAGTTTGCAAATAGTTTGAGTCGATGAAATCCACATCCCTTTCCTAAGAAGTTTTCACCCCAACTAGTGAATTTCCAGGACAAATTCTATCTAGGAAAGCTGCATTCTGCCTGCATGAATTCTTACTGCTGTTTTTGTTCGACACATTTAGCCCTTCACTCAGGATCATCTGGGATGTGTGCCTATTGTTAGCTTTAGGAGAAGCTGGCTGGTGTACAGCTGAAATGCAGATGATATCACTCTAGTTACGGAGCAGTACAGTCAAAATGAACAGAGAGGAGGTAGCTGTTTTTATGGCAGAAGACACCCGGAGAAGCAGGGTACCAACACAAGTGATCTCTTTCTTTCCTCAGCATTGAGCCAGCAAAGAGCAGCATCGCACCCTTCCGGGGTCTGAAACGACCGCTCCAATTCTTGGGCCTTTTTGAGACGTCTCTCTGCCGCCTGACACATATTCCAGCCTATAAGGTAATGAGGGTGCAAGAATATTGGTAGTAGGTACTTGGCAGAAGTTCAAAGAACATGCAAATCACTGTCTGCTAGTAGAGAGGAGTTCTTAGGGTCTTATGTGTGACAGTTTCAGCTCTGACCTTTTTATAGCTACTTGATAACGCAGGAGAGGTGCCAGAGGGCAAGACAAGACCTATATCCCACACAGTTTTTACAGGTGTTTTAAAAAATATAAAAAAGCCACTTAGAGAATGGGCTGAAAAACTCATCCCCAATTAAGAATTAGGATTGTCTGTGACTACCAGAAAACAAAGACAATAGGAGTCCTGTGAATAGAATCCTTCTGCCCCAGAGGTGCCTTTTCTTGTCATTCTGGGCCAAGAAGCGACTCAAACATCTTTGCTCCCATCATGGGCCTAATCCTACTAGAAGGACAGATGCAAGTTGCCCCCTTTGACCTTTCAGACCTACCCTCAGAGTTCCCTTCTGATGCTGGCTTTCCTCCCTCATCCTTTTTTCCCCGACCCTTGTTCCTCCATGCTAGGTGAGTGGAGACAAGAATGAAGAGCAAGTCCTGAATGCTATCGAGGCGTATACTGAACACCGGCCAGAAATCACTTCGCGGGCCATCAACCTCCTTTTTGACATCGCCCGCATTGAGCGTTGCAGCCAGCTGTTGCGAGCCCTTCAGGTAAGCCCCATGCTAGCCTTTACCTCACCCTTACAAGGGAAATTTTGCAGTCCCAGCCTTTTCTTCACACCAGGATGCCATATCAGGCCGTTCTGGAGAAAGTTCCAGTAGTGCAGTGGAACTGGATAACTTCATTTCATAAGCACGTTCCTTGCAGGCTTGTAACAGCCTTTGTCCCACACAGCCATAACTGTCCTTCCAAGACTCAACAGCAAGTCAGTGGCACTGAAGCTTCGTGTTGCTTCCTTGCAGCTGGTGATCACAGCCCTCAAGTGCCACAAGGATGACAAAAACATCCAGGTGACAGGCAGCGCGGCGCTGTTTTACCTGACGAACTCCGAGTACCGCATGGAGCAGAGTGTAAAGCTGCGGCGCCAGGTCATCCAGGTGGTGCTGAACGGCATGGAGTCCTACCAGGAAGTCACAGTAAGAGCTGCCCGGCCTCCTTTGGCTCCCCGAGTTCTCCTTCCTATGTTAGGTCTTTAGCCTGGTGTTAGCATTTGTGGATTCTAAGCCTCTGGTATGTGAGCTGAGGCAGGCGCCAGAGAACTGTTTGCCCAGATCTGCTCTTTGCCTTCACTCAGTGGTGGGAATTACGTGCAAGGTGCTCCTTAGCCTTGTGATGTTCTCCAGAACCAGGGGAAGCAAGTGATGGTAGCAAGGCACCTTTTTAGCTGATGTTAAAGGTCAGAAGGTGTACAACCCACAGCATAGGTGTCTAATACTGCCTATGGGGTGAAAAGGGTGTGGACATGGGGGTGTTAAGCTAACAGAAAGAAATGTCATGCCAGTGCCCTGCTATCAGAAGCTAGCTGACAATATACCCTGCAACGCCTCTGGGTTACAGAATGGTGACTCCTGAACAGAAAGCTTAAAGGCAGCAAGGAACCACCTTGAAAAGTGATGTGTGTTGGGCGATTGTGTGGCACTAGTGAGACCAGTGAGAGAGAAGAGCCTACTGATAGAGCGCAGCTCAAGCAGACCGCTAGGTAGGAGGGTGACAGAAATTTCAGTGGTAGTGGTCAAACAAGAAGATGGTTTCAGTACAAAGCAGAAAGAGAACTTGAGGGGATAAAGTCAGATTTTTGTAGCCAGCTGGTGCAGCATTTGCTTCCCTTCAACCCAGGTACAGCGCAACTGCTGCCTGACGCTGTGTAACTTCAGCATTCCCGAGGAGCTGGAGTTCCAGTACCGCCGAGTCAACGAGCTGCTGCTGAACATCCTCAATCAGAGCCGGCAGGATGAGTCCATCCAGCGCATCGCCGTGCACCTCTGTAATGCTCTGGTCTGCCAGGTGGACAACGATCATAAAGAAGCTGTGGGCAAGATGGGTTTTGTCATGGTTGGTATGGTCCCAAGGCATCTGCTTATCTTTAACCCAGGCTACCTCAGTTTCCTTGCAGCAGTCCACCAAACAGGCCCAGCCAGTGAACCAGCCTCACCATATCACAGGAGGGAACTGGTGTTCCAGCAGCATTAGCCTCTCCTGGAACCTGCCCCTCCACGTGACACCTTTTTGTGGCTTGCCAGCCCTGGAAGTCATGGTCTCAGACAGGCTGTCCATGAGAGCAGGGAAGCAGTGTGACCTGATACCTTCCCTCTTTGCTGCACTGTTTCCAGAACCAGTACATCCTTTTGATTAGCTCCTTCGGCATCTCCCTAAACTTGCATCAGCTTCCCAACTCACGTCAACGCATATCTCATCCCTCCACAGAGAACTGCAGAGGCCACAGCTTTTTTGCAGTTCTACCACATTCCAGACTTTGTCACACAGGTCACAACTGACTTGACTGTACCATGGTTCAGCTCTTCAAACACACCTGCAATCCTGAACATAACCCAATCCCACTGATTTAGAGGAAAAAATATCAAGTAACTACTCCGCAAAGGGTCAAAATTTAATATGCCTGCAAGGGGCTGCAGCCAGTCCTGCAGCACCTACAGCTGTCGGTTTTAGCTCTGTGATTCTTGAACTGTTCTCATTCTTCCCCTTCTGCCCACAGACAATGCTAAAATTGATTCAGAAGAAGCTGGCTGATAAAACGGTGAGTGTTTCCCACAGAAGTTTATACATAGAGTATTTTTTCTTCAGTCTGACTTTGGCATGGAGATCAGTCTGGAGCGCTAGCCCAGCTTCTCTACCGAACATGAGACATCCCAGCTGGTGCTGCAGAATTTCTTGTCACTGGAGGGAGGGTGGCAGGGCAGGAGGGAATATGGTAGGGAGGCAAAAGTAATAAAACAAACAAGCACACTTGCTGACAAGCTGAAAACGAATAACAAGATTTTCTTACCCCTGAATTCATCTGGGGCGATGGCAGAGATGAACCACAAGTGGCTGGTTTGCACTGGGCTCCCACATTTGCAAATCTGTTTCTTTCCCTTTCTCTTTGGCTTCGTAGTGCGATCAGGTGATGGAGTTCTCCTGGAGCGCCCTCTGGAACATTACTGATGAGACCCCTGATAACTGTGAGATGTTCCTTAACTACAGTGGCATGAAACTGTTCTTGGAGTGCCTGAAAGTAAGTACATCTAGTTTTCTCTAGATGAACGCTGACATTAACAGTGGAGATACAAGTGCCTGGGCACGATTCCTAGTTATGCTAATCCATAAGCAGTACTTCCTATGTTGCGTGAACGGAAAAAGCTTGCATGTTTCATTCTTTCTCTCATCCACCCACCCACCCAGTAGGAAAGCAGAGAAACTTAAACTGAACGCATCCCCCTCTTTCCTGCCTCGTACGCAGTTTTCCTTAAGTAGAGCACCAGTGAGTAACAGGCGCTGGCCTTGATTTCTCATTTCACACGGATCTTGAAGGCTAGAGATCCCATCAGAGAATTGCTAAAGAACCAATGCTAACTACCCAAAAACACTCACCCTTTTTAGGAGCACTGCACAACCTTTACCCAGGGTCTCTTGTTCTCAATATCACTGTGCTTCTACTATTGTATAATCCTGTCTCTGACTTTGTTAGGAGTTCCCAGAGAAACAGGAGCTGCATCGCAATATGCTGGGCCTCCTTGGCAATGTGGCAGAGGTGAAGGAACTCCGCCCACAGCTCATGACCTCTCAGTTCATCAGTGTGTTCAGGTGAGTGCCAGGCTACTGAGCAGCTGGGCCAAGTGAATGCTCTAGAGTGTTGGTCCTGAATCACCTGGAGACTTTTCAACCTTTGATGCCTCAGATTGTTTTTGCATTCTGAAAAAGCTAAAAGGAAATCATTTGACAGCTTTGTAAATGCCTTGGATTGTAGGGGCTTATTTGTGGTGTTAATGTAACTGAAAAGCTGCATCCCTGGAGAGCGTTGCTCCTGTTTCAGGCTGGAGATGTTTTCTCCAATGACTGTTTCCGATCACAATAAAAGACATGCTGGTTTTGTTTTTTGTAAGATGCTAAGGAAGGTTGTTCTGGAACCTCCCAATGATCTCTTCTCTCTTGGCAGCAACCTGCTGGAGAGCAAAGCAGATGGCATTGAGGTATCCTATAATGCCTGTGGCGTGCTCTCCCATATCATGTTTGATGGTCCAGAGGCTTGGGGTATATGTGAGCCACACCGAGAGGAAGTTGTAAAGAGGATGTGGGCAGCCATCCAGAGCTGGGATATCAACTCCAGAAGAAATATCAATTACAGGTGAGGAATAGAGAAGTATGACTCATTTTCTCAGCAGCCAGGCTTGTCACAGAAAGCAAGCACCAACAGTCAGAAGGGAAAAGGTACAGCAGAGCGTGGAGGTTCTGCTTAAAGTGGAGGAGAAATCTTCAAGAACATATTCTTTAGTGAGGGCTTCACATCTTCCTTTGACTGAAGGTAGCATGTTACACAGGCTGCTGAAAATGAATACCTTGTCTGGCAAATCCTATGAGAGAAGCAAGGGAACCCAGCAGACTTAATTCTGCACATTTCTGGTGAAATTGCATAGTTCAGAAACCCACAATCTGACTATCTGAGATTGACTAAACATCGTTCTTTGAGACTTCTGTCCTTGGCACCTTAATTCTGAAAGACACATGTATTGCTGTAGCTTTCACTCTCCTCTGGGGGATATATAGACACAGTTCCCAGAAACCTCTTAATGGGTTAATACAACCAGTGGAATCCTCCAAAGTCCTTCCTCTGTGAGGGTGTCAGGTACTGTGTATTCCCATAGTGCCTGGCAGGAATCCTGAACGAATGGCATTCCAATTCCTTAGCTACAGTATAGACACATGATTGTCAGAAGAAACAGAGCAACCATTGCACGTGAGCAGCTGGCTTTGGCTGGGTATAGTTTTGCTTTGGACCCTCTACAGAATGACCCGTGCTGCTGGGTTTCAGCTGTCACGAGGAAATGACTGACAGAGGATGGAAATCAGCTGACTTCTTTGCAGCTATGTATCTGGGCAGCGTGTTTATGCTAAAGCAGCAGGGCCTGTAAGCCTGCCAGTATTGCCATGTGACACAGACTTAGGCTTTGATGCCAGAATCTTTGACATGCCAATAGATTTACTGCTGTGGTTTCTATGAGCACAGGGTTTGTATTGCTCTGTGTAGCAAAGGTGCTGGAAGAAGCAGCTCCTGGATTTTTAGCAAGTTCTACAATATTTCTGTGCAGGTCATTCGAACCAATCCTTCGGCTTCTTCCACAAGGGATCTCTCCGGTCAGCCAGCACTGGGCTACTTGGGCACTGTATAACTTGGTCTCTGTCTACCGTAAGTTCCTGTTTCAAAATCACACCCACTGCACTGTAAAAGCTGACATCGTGAATCTAAACTTGTTACCAGAAAAACTCATCCCAATTTAGCTATGTAGTTAGAGAGAACCTTCTCTGAATGATGCAGGAATGTCCAGGCAGCACAGCCAAACAAAAAACAGTGAGACTTAGTGCATAGGAAATTCCTTCAATGTTTTGATCCTTCTGGCCATGCTCTTGTTTCTCAGTCATTTTGTGTCCTGTTTTTATAGCCAAGGTACCCCTAACAGGTTGTCTCCAAAAAAAAAAAAAAAAATTAAAAAGTTTTGTGACTTCTCCAGCAGCGTCCTACCCCTCCTGCCACCCTTTATACTGCTCTTGTGAAGGTTCAAGGACCTATTTTATTCTTTTCTCTGCAGCTGACAAGTATTGCCCACTGCTGATCAAAGAAGGTGGGATTCCCCTTCTGAAGGACATGATTAAAATGGCCTCAGCACGGCAAGAGACCAAGGAAATGGCCCGGTAGGAAACCAATGCATTGTCATCAAACATTCAGTTTAGCTTCAAGTTAGTTTTTACTCTTACATCAAGTGAGGCTACCAAAGAAAGGCCTGTGCTGATCTCTACAAGGGGTGAAACAAACGTGGGAGAAGAGCAGGAAAACTGATAGAAACAAGACTAGAGAGGTGATAATAGGTGGGCAATAAACACATCATTGAGGGTTCATAGATGCCAGGCAAATAGGTTATAGGAGTGGCTTGTTGGATAAGAGAGCCACATTGCTAATTGCATCTCCTATTCTCATAGTCCCCAGTCATCGCTACTGGCCATACTGGAGGCATGGGGTCCCTGTTTGTAATCATACAGGCCTGTCACTAAAAGAACTGACTGTGACTGCACAGTTAAAATCAGAGGATTCTCGAAAGGTGGAGAGAGTCCCCCACTGCTGTGAACTTCCCCAAATTATTACATGACTTTCCTTTGGAGTCATTCTTTCCGAGTTTTAAGAGAGAGCTGCAGTTTCTAATCATGGACAAACTGAGCTCTACAATTTCATGCCTGCAGGATGAATATAGAGGAGAGGTAGAGATTGGCTGGGAATATGCACCTGGTGGGTGAGCGGCAGGCATTCCCCACAGCCGAAGGGTTGCTAACTGCTGGAGGTGACAGAACCCTGCAGAAGAATACCGTGGGTTAGGCAAATTATGTATGGTGATGCGACAGTCCAAGAACAGTAAATGGGAAGAACAGGAAAAGCAGGGACAGATAACAGCGGAGTGAAAACAAACATTTGTATGCATGCGCTTCCTGGTGTGATTCAAAGTTATCTGATGATTTGGATATGAGGGTGAGAAATGAATGGTCTCATGGATGTGGATATATAGTAATATGACTTGAAATCCCAAGGGAATGAACAGCAAACTCTATGTTGCTTTGTGGAATATGCTCCTTTTGATACAAACATTGCTTATTGCATATCAGAAGAGCCTGCCTGCTGCAAACAGCATATATTTACGTAGAGACCAAGCTATGTTCCTGTCCCACAACTGTAATGCAGTAAGCTTTAAACTAAACCCTCTCTCCTTGTCCTATTTTATCCATAGGAAAGTTATAGAGCACTGCAGTAACTTTAAGGAGGAGAACATGGACACTTCCAGATAGAGGCAATCACCTAGTGCCTCTTGCCAGCACTGTATCCAGCTTCTCTCTAATTCACTGTATATAGGGAGGACTCTTTCTTACCAACTCGCCCGTTGGAAGGAAACTTTATGTGTGTGTGTGAGACCCTCAGTAGATGAAGGTGAACAGGGGAGGGGGGGGAGGGACTTTTTGCACAACAAAATGCTTTCCTTAAATTAGTGGACTTTTTTGTTATGAAGTTTCAGATTGAAGTTCTGTGTGTATGATTTCTGTATAAAAAGAAAAAAACAAAGACAACTACATTATGTATCTTTTAACCTTTTTTTTAGACCACACAGAGAGCCTCAAATGATCATGAGCTTGAAGACCTAGTTGTGTGATCGCTAGTGTGACTTTTTTTATTTCCCACTTTTTAGAAAATTCCCTTTTGCTGTATTGCATGAGGTCCTGTAATGTCTGCAAGATCACCAGTCCTGAATTGGTATTGGCCACTCAGTGGGTTTTATAGGCAATGCAAATTATTTATTTGCTTATAGAGGTTGGGGGACACAACACAAGAGCGTTAGACCAAGAGAACTGACCTTTTTAGTAATATTTGTAAGTAGAGAAAATGGGAAAGAAAGATCTTTCAAGTCAATTCATTCCCTTAAGGTTTTTAATGGAAGACTCATTTTAATAGAAGCACTGCTAAGTGTACGTGGGTCATTTGGAAGTAAGACATTCCCATTAAAGTCGAGAGTTCTGTTTTGTCCCCTTTGGCAGTTCAGTAGGATCTGCCAGCCCACCCAGTCTCACACGGTCAGGGACGACCAGTAAAACCAGTTACCCACCCATGGCAACACAGAGCTTTTCCGTCTAAGGGAGGCTGTGCAACAAGGAACAAGGTTTGTTCACAAAGGGCTATGCATCTTCATTCCAGTACTTCAGCTTTTTAGTTGTGTTCTGCTTTATGGGAAAGGGCTACAAATGCCAGAAAGTGGATTTCCCCTTGGCATAAGAAGTTCTCGTAGATCCTAGGCAAGAGCAGCTTGTACCAGTGCAAGTTCCAGTAACGGACTGAAGCTGTCCTACCCGTCTTCAGTCTGCGTTGGTACAAGCCACACTCAATGACAAAGTAATCTCCCTTTATAGGAAGCTTGCTGCAGCACAGGTGCTGTCACTGGAGCTGCTAACATCATCTTTTGAGACTAGGGAGTCTCTATGCATTCTTTGGAGTGTGATCTCGTGAAATAGCACCTCCTGTTCCACCCCAACATCTTCCCCTTCTTCTGGGAAGCAAAGGGCCCTATTCTTATCCAATTCCCACCAGTGCAGTCCCACTCACATCAGCAGAATTACTCCAATTTATATGGTGTAGGGGAGAGGGAATCCCACTAAGGTGGTCTTGATTTTTAAAACTCTAGACCTATAAGATGCTTAAGAAGCCAAGGGCCAAAGTTTGCTGCACAGCCAAGCACTCAACACCACATCATGCAGTTCATGCTCAAGAGCCCCCTGCTTGTCACAGTTCTTTCACAATTCACAGTTCTTCCCTTAAAAATGAGTTTAGAAAATATTTTACATCTGCAGTTAGAGGAAGCCATGGCCACGTGATTTAGGACATTTCAGGCCTCACACAGCACAGTAACCGTCGCTGCTCTCTTCCCTTACATTGCTCTCAGATTTGACTCGCTGCTATGACAGGTTCTTCTAATGCTCAGAGTTAATGCTGTCGTTGCTGAGCACATTATAGATAGATCCTAGAGACACAAACTGACACTTTAAATGACAGAACACAGCTGCCCTGAGAGGTTTACTTTTTTTCTGCCAATATGGTGTTACTCAATGTCTTCTTTTCTCTTTTTAACCATACGTCATTTGTTTTGATATTGTGAGATCTGTACTTTTTTCTTTAAGTATTTTTCAAACTTATATATATTTTTGTGTCACTTTTGAATTGTTTTCATATGGTTTGCAAAACTTGACAAATTATACTTTTTTTTTTTGAGGTTGTTTGATTGAAATGTATTTTTATCTCTCTGATTCCTGTTCCCCAAGAATGTGTGTCCCTATAAGCTTTGAGACAGACAAGTTTATTTCATGATGTTTTCTGTGTAACACTTGCTAATCGTTCTCCTAGATGCAAAACTAAGAGCGGCTGCATATACTGCTTACCAGCCTCCATGCGTTAGGGGAGTCAGGCTTTGCTCATTTAATCCTCCATTTACTGCTCTCCTTTTGAAGTTGTCTCATGTGACAGTACCACCCACTAGACTTTATTCCTCTCTAACGCCCATGTAGTGAAAGCTCCTACCACTAAAATCTTGAATCAAGTGACAAAAAGCACTCAAGGTTCTGACTATGTTGGCAAGGTGGGATTGAAGGAAGTGGGGAAACATCACAAGAGGGATCAGCAACCTAGAATGCAGAATCCCCGGAATTGAGTTGCCATGCTGAGGAGACAGCTGAAGCACTCCTCAGCCTCGCACTGTAATCACAGCAAATCAGGCTTTTTACTCTGAGATGTTGGCAAAACTACATCAAGATTAATGGACAAATTATGGCTTGGTTCCATCTGTCTCAAGTCTGAAGAACACCAAAGGTTTGTTTTTTTTCCAAACTAATGCCTCTGTAAGTTGAGTTACTACTGAAGTCACACCTGCTGCAGCTAGACTGTGGTATCATAAGCTATCAAGATCCAAGCTGCATCAAACTTTTGTTTCACAATGTAGAGATACCCTCTGTCCTAGCTGCTCACATATCCTCAGCAAGCTGTACCTGAGCCTGAACCAGAAAAAAAATATTTCAATTTCCCAGCAACATAGAAATTAATGGAGTCAGGCCGGCTTGCCAGAAAAGCTTAGTTTGATGAGATCTGTCACTAAGCTCAGTGGCATGGGGAAATATATATCTGGTCTATTACACCTAGCTACGTGTAAGATGTTGAGATGGACCAAAAGCCAGGTAAATTCCTGAAACAGTATTTTTTAAAAATAGCATAATTGTTAGAGTAACATGAGCTTTTGCTAAAAGCTTCTATTTCTTTATGACAACAAGCTTTGTGAGGTGAAAAATACCATAGAATGGTTTGGGTTGGAAGGGACCTTACAGATCATCCTGTTCCAACCCCCCTGCCATGGGCAGGGACACCTCCCACTAGACCAGGTTGTTGCCCAAAGCCCCATCCAGCTTGACATTGAACACTTCCAGGGATGGGGCAGCCACAACTTCTCTGGGCAACCTGCTCCAGTGTCTCACCACCCTCTGAGTGAAGAATTTCTTCCTTATGTCTAATCTAAATTTACCCTCTTTTAGTTTAAACACATTACCCCTTGTCCTATCGTTACAGGCCCTGGTAAAAAGTCCCTCTCCATCTTTCTTTCAAACCCCCTTTAAGTATTGAAGGGCCACAATAAGGTCCTCTGAGAACCTTCCCTTCTCCAGGCTGAACAACCACAACCAGTCTGTTTCTTCATAGCAGAAATATTGTTCTTTCAGTAAGGAGTGAAAGGTGTTCTCTGAACATCGGAGTATAATCCAGGAATTCCTGTGAACCAGAGTCTGAAGCTAGGTTGTACCTCAGTCTCCCTAAATGCAACAGGAGTTGTCGTGTCCTAGGCATAAGGCATGTACTATGACCTGAAAGCACTTTTTGGATGCAAAGAGGAGTTAATGAATTGCTGCTGTAGATGCAACACTCAGGACAGAACAGGACAGTTGCCTTAGCTGCAGAATATCAATATTCTACAGAAAAGGGGAGGGCAGAGTGGCTGATTTTTATCAAGGTCTTACATGAAAAGGGGAAGTTGGATTTCTGGAAACGCTTGCCTGTTACAGAGAAGGCTCTCAGACATTCCAGCTTTATTGGAGCAAAGGAATGAAACGTGAGACTTCAATTCCACACAGAGCCAGCAACCAATCCTGCCTAGGAAGCTATAACAGGGTTCTACCTGTCTGATGAAAGTGCAGCTGGAGAAAAGCTCACCACGCGTCAAGATGAGGTAGAGGGACTCCTAATGGTCTGTAGTTGTCCCATTCACACTCTTACTCGTGTTTTCACTACTACATTTCCTTTAATATTTAAAAGCTTAGCAGGCAGAGCATGAACACAACTCAGTAGTTCTCTGCAGAGACTGTACCAACAAGGAACCCTCTACCTTCAGTGTAAGTAGTTTTCTTCCTGACTGGACAATACCTCATGGTTCAGTGGCCCAGGTCAATGATGCAGCAGTCCTCAGCATGGAGGGTGTCAGTCAGGTGTCTGCCATTTTCTCTGGAATAGATAAAAGAACAAGTTGGTGGGCAACTTTCCACAAGTGCTTCCATTTTACAAGATCCGTGGGAGGATTTGCTTATACAGATTGGCATCTATTTGTGTGATGCTTAACAGCGGCAGCACCAGACTTTCTCATCTAGACCAAGCTGAGGAAGCTTAGCACTGATATTTGTGGCATTAGCAACAATGCAGATAATTCATCTGACCTGTCTGCATCATGGCTTTTATCTCCCTGCACCTACCTATTAGCTCAAATGATAACTCCTCAGCACTGAATCCTACCCGGCCTGTCACCCTGGCTGGACTTCCATTGGAGTTGCTTTGGTCTCTGCAAAAGATGACTGGCAAGAAAAGTCTTGGAGCTGTGACCTTATTCCCCCTATCACTTGCAGCAGGCAATTAAATACCAGTAGGGCAGCAGAGGTAGGAGCACTGCCTGAATGCAGTGCACTACAGAAAAGACATTTTGCTAAGATTGTTTAGGGAGGAGCCCGCCACTGCTCAGGTGTTAGAGGGTGGCTTGTGCTGGAAAAAAAAATAAGTAAGGAAAAAAGCTGGTCTCCACGACAACCATGTGTATGAAGCACAGAGGGTAACGGTTGTCAGGGATGGAGGGAAAGTAACATGGGGACTGGAAAAGAAGACGGCACTTAAAAAAGGAATTAGGGATGTTTTCTGCTTAACTGAAACATTTCTGCTTTAACAGACTATTTTGGTTTCAGATAATTGTCATCGATTCTCTGTAATTCCTTTCTTGTTAAAAAAAAAAAAAAAAAGTTTTTAAGCTAACCAAATATGTATTTCCTTGTTTTGCTTAAAGAACATTATCTCAGTTATAATGAGCAAGCTTCTGCTTTTACTCTGTCTGTTGACCTGCCTAATGTTGAGAGGCCTGGTTAAAATGTTTGTACATGGTGAAACCAAGCAAAAAATAATAATGCACAACTGTTGCTTCCTTACAATTCTGAATGAATTAACTTTTCTGTTGTATCCATTGGGATACCTGCTGTGTATTAAACCTAGTGCTTAACAATGTCTTCTTCCTTTGGTCTATGAATGTGGTTTATTTAGGTACATTACTGGTCCATTTGTTGTCATATATTTCATTAAAAATGAAAGGAGCTGCCATGTGATGATTGTGCAGTTCAGTGGCTTTTGCTTTCATCACTCCACGGGGTACAATACTGTTTGTCAATAGAAAAGAGGCGTGGAGGAAGCGAGTATTGTTATGAAATGACATAGGGGGAAAAAATCAGAACAATATTTGACTGCACAGATTGCCTCTGAACTCTGTAATGGATCTGTGGCTAGCATTCCACAGCCTAAGGGTTGCAAATGGGCAGAAGCTGAGTACTTAGGGAAAGACTCTGTACTTCAAACAGACAACCTGCTTTAAGGTCAGCTGGACTTTCTTCTTAACTCCCCAGTCCTGCAGGAGTTCAACTCCCAGTTAATTCAATGGTCACTGTAAAATCTCTAAAGGGTCACATTCTCAGTGGCTGAAGCAGGAGAAGGGATTATGTGAAACTGAACTGCCTGTAGGGAGCTGAAAACATACCACATTGTAAGAGAACAGAGATAATTTATGCTTCCAGCAGCATGAAATTCCTAGCTAGAATACCATAAGAATCTAGAGTCTCTGCTCAGAAATTTGCTAACGGAGTATTTCTGAACTGAGCCTAACTTCAACCAGAGACATTTGGGTTGAAATAAACTCTGATCTCTGTAAGACAGGTTTAAAAACTGTGAGAGAAGATAAAAGTATAACATGCACCAAATTCTTCTAATCATGAAGAAAGAGAGAATATATTCTTCTTTAGGACAGATTATTTTGGAATATCAGAATGTTTCTACTATGAAGTGGGTAATACCGTTACTACTCAAATTGCCTTTGTTAAGCTTTAAAATTTACACCTCTCCCCAGAAAGCAGAAAGACATTACCCACCTTATTTCCTGTTTGCAGACAGAGATTGATTCTATTGTTCTGAGCTTCCTACTGTTCTGAAAGGTTTTCTTTGCAACTGAAGGAACAGAAGGATTTTTAGGATATTTAAAGCATGCAGGGCCATCTCCAAACTCCCAGGTTTGACAAGCACTGATCAGTGAGTGACAAGCACAGTCAGTGAGGTTTCTGAGGGATGATTTCTGTAGGTTTTGCATTTACCTAGAATAATTTTAAAAAAGCAAAAGGATTTGAATGACCACTGAAAAGGCGAATTTAGACCGTTATTTTTATTAACATGTTAATGCAGCTGTCTTAGGTAAGTAATTTGTGACCTGTGCAACCAGGTGCTTTCCTGGAACCAGCAGGTGGCCACTGATTCACTTAAAATAGACTAAAATAATTCAAACCATGTCATTTATGGTCAAACAATAACAAGCAATCAGCTACTTTTCAGGTGGTGGAGGATAAATTTGCAAAGAATGTGATTTTTCTTCCTAAGTTTTTACTGGGAAGGAAGTTAACAAAAGCTGCAAATTAAGAGCTACATTAAAGCCAAAGAAAGTTTAAAGAGAAACCACTAATTTCAGAACTTCCACAGGCTTGTGGTGAGATTCATCTCCCCTAAATAGACAGACATTCAGAGTGTAAATGTGTACATCTAAACTAGTCATCTTGGCTCTTTTATTGTTAGCAAGAGACAAAAGTGCATCTAGGGTGCAATTCACCAACTTCTGGATGTCTGCTTTCGGGTGAGGAGGGCCATTCTCCAGACATGCCTACTTCCCTCCACGGCTGTCAAGGGAGTCTAATGGCCTCAGTCAGATGCACTGCAGACATATGAAGTCAGATCAAATCCCACCCCAACAACCTCCTCCCCAAGTTATGCCAGACATTTTGTAAGCTCCGTTTGCATTAAGAGAGCTGTCTAAATGTGCTCAGCCACGCACAGCCTCTGCATTTCTCCCCAGGGCGCAGGAAAGCAACAGATAAAAATAAATTGGCGTGACCAGAGTTAGCGCCGCGGTGCTGCATCTCACCCAGCCAGCACCCCAAACCCTCACCTCCCAGCCGTGCACCCCTGTGGGGCCCCTTTTATTGCTATATACGTTTAGCAGTGTTTCCCTCGGGTCTAAATGCAATTTTCACCCGTAACGCTGCCCTGAGAGGCCTCAATGGCTGGGGAAATACAGCCTGATGGCTGAGGTGCCCGTACAGAGCCCGGGGGTGAGGGGGGAAAATGAAGAAAGCGCCTTTCTCTGGGCAAAACGCAACGGGGCCGGCGGCGTGTGAAGGGAAGGAGGAAGACCCAGGGACTGCAGCGGCCCTACAAAGGCGAAGGGAGGAAAGAGACGCGGGGACCTGCATGGAGGGAGCCGAGCTGCCCCCCTCAGCCCCTCACAGGGCCTGGGCCACCTCAGGGAGCGGCCTCGGGGCCGGGAGCTCCGCTGGGCCGAGCCGCTCAAGCCCAGGCTCCGCCTCAGGGCGCTGCCCGTGGCCGGGGCGGCGCCGCTCGCCCTTGCGGGCCCTGCGGGCGCCATGGGGGTGACCGGGCTGGGGGTGAGGGCGGCACACACGGCCCTGAGCGGGGGCTTGGCGCTGGGGCTCCTCCTGCACCCCACAGGTGAGGCGAAGCCGCCGCCGCCGCGAGGGTCCGCCCGCCGCGGGGCCGGGCTTGTGCCTGAGGGGAGGCGGCAGCGAGCGGGGCTGGGGCCGTGCCAGCGCCTTGCCCTGAGGGGGGGGACCCGTTTGTTCCCCATCCTTCGCGCTGCCCTCCTTTCTCCCCGTTCCTGTGGGGTCCCTCGGGGCCTGAGGAGGGCTGGCCCTGAGGGGAGGTGGCAGCGCTTGAGGTGTTGGTGGGGTGCTGGGAGCAGCAGGGTTACATAACGCGGTGCCTTAGGAGGGGAGAAATCGGGGCATGGGCACCCCCAAAGCTCGCCCGTTGAAAGGCCTTTTACGTTCCCTGTCCTGCTGCTGAGGGGTGTCTCCCTTTAGGTAAGGGTGGGGAGAAATCCTAAATGTCTCACGAGGAGCCACTGCTCTCTTTTTGGGGGTACCTTTTAGATCTACGAGAGCAAGTGGAGCGTGGAGAGCTGCTGCTGCCAGTGATCTTCACCGTGCTGGTGCTGTGCTCTGTCCTGCTGTACTTTAAGGTGTCTCTCATGGATCCAGGCTTTGTTAAGTCTGAAGAGGAAGTGAAGGTATATTATTTCACAAATGTAAACAAGTGCTGGGGCTATAAAATCCCTACGCTTTTTTCTTTTTCACCTACTCTGTCTGCTACATAAAAACAATATGAAACATTTTCTGTTGGACATTAGGCAGCAGTCTCTGATTTGTGTCCTGTAACAGGGCTCACATACTTGTAAAAGATGCACATGAAAGTGCATCATTTACCCCACACTTCCCTATGTTCAGTGCATTGTGCCATTGGAGTGTTGTCCTCTCTTTCCTCAAAGCACTACTCTATGAAATATTTATATTTTATACTAATCCTTACTAACTGGTATGAGTACAAAAAGCCTAAATTGAAGGGCAACCTTGGAAGAAAGTTCTCTCTGCCGCTCTATTTATCAGATTATAGATTTGTTACCCTCTCAGAGGACAGATACACAAACAAGTTACAGTGGAGTAGACAGAGGTGTAAAGTTACAGTAACCAAGACAGAGTCTACTCCAGGTTTACTGCCTTGCTTGTTGTGTAGGACAAAAGAGGCAAGGCAATATCAGTTCTAATCTTCCATCATTAATGTAAGTGGTGGCTGTGTTATGAATAAGTACGCTTCCTTATACTGAAACAACATCATCATTACGTTTGGAAGTAAATCTAACCTTGTTTATTTGTGTCCTGAAGTGTGGAGCTGGGATCTGTGTGGTATCTTGTCCACAAGTATTTCTGCCTCAATGCAAACATTCTTTAGATGGTTACAGCAGTCTATTCTCTCTGGATGCGCCCTAGCTATCTGCAGTGGAATTTCATGCCACAGTATTTATATAGCAACTTCAGTACTTCACTGGGGATTATTTTGTTTCTCTTTCCTAATGACAGATAACCAGCACTATGTAACTGTAAGAGGATCCAGATAGCTTCAGTCACAGCCAAGCAGGCTAGTAGCTGCTTTACTTCAGAGAACACAAAACATCCTTCCTCACTCCCTTTCTCACCTTTTTTCTTTTTCTTTTTTCTTTTTGTAGGCAGACAAGAACGAAGAACAAAACATAGTGATACCCCAGGTTTCAAGCAGTATTAAGATGCGGCGTTGTGGCTACTGCATGGTGAAGGTAGGCATTCATTACACACTAGAAGAAAAGGGGATGACTGATTTGCAAGTTTGCATTTTTGTCGACATCTTTGTATAGCTGGTATTGCCGTCTGTTTTTCTGCTCTGCCATTGCTGCTCACTTCTCAGTGGTTTGGAGGCATTGGTAGAGCTGATTAATTCTGTCACAAGGTCATCCTCCTGCAGAAAAACTCACAGAAAAAGAAGTACAACTAAATTAAACTCAGATGCAGTCCTAAACTGAAAAGTGATCCAAATGGATTGCATAGCTAACGATGACCACTGGCACAGTATGCTAATTTTCCAAGGTTGAAGCAAGTCCCTCCAGGCTCGTACAAACAAGGATCTTTTGCCATATTCCACCAGGGGAAAATTGTGTTCTGTGTTCTTACTGTCATGTGAGTCAGACCTTACGGTGTCTTGATAGGAGAATCAGGCAGTCAAGCATGACATACAAGAACTGCTGGTGGCTGTGAGCTTGTTTGGGGGCCTAAAAACAACAAAACATTAGCCTGAATTGTAAAAGATAGCATAAAGGAAAAAACAAAACGAATTAGCTTTTAAAAGAGTCTGGCTGAAGCCTAGAAATGCCTGTTTTCACAGTGATCCTTATCATTTTGATAAAATCCAGCGTTATCCTAGCTTCCCTAAATTCCTGAAGAATATCTACCAAGAGAAGTCAGCTTATTGCAGGAGGATAAGCTGGCAAAGCATATATACACATCAAGGAGCAAAGCCTAGAAAGGACATTCATACTTCTTTCCTCAGCTATATCTTCTCTCTGTTCTTGGTACTTGAGCTCTTCTACCAAGGAGAAGGTTTAACAGGAGTGGAGTATTGCTAGCACTTTGCTTCTTTTCCTTGTTTGTTTTTGTTCTGCAGCAACCAATGCGAGCCAAACACTGCCAGGTGTGCCAACACTGTGTACGGCGTTATGACCATCACTGCCCCTGGATTGAGAACTGTGTGGGAGAGAAGAATCACCCCCTCTTCATAGTTTACTTGAGCATACAGCTTGTAGTTCTGCTGTGGGGAGTTCACACTGCTTGGTAAGGCCTGGAGGCAGCACTTTTGACCTCTAAAGTTAACAGAAGCCATAATGCTCCTAGAGCCCCACTGAAGGGTTTGTATCGAACGCAGCAGTAGCTGGATTGGACTCTTATCTTCAGTCTTTTGCATTCTGGAGATCAACTTTTCTGAGGAACAACACAGCTGATCAGTAGTTGAAAAGAATCTGGTAATTTGGGTTTCATTGGTCATCTTTGTTTTAAGCTTAAATTTAATAGAACTAACAGTACAAGAGCTAACTGATTTTGCTTCAGTTACTGTAATACAATCTTCATTTACAACTTGAAATATTGGAAACTCTAATTGCGTTTCAGCTGTGTACCTGTTCAGGAAAGGAGTTAACTGAAGTTTATTGCAGTTCAGCTCTGAGGAGAACTGCCTCCTTTAAATTTCTTAGAATTTAAGTCAATGCTGTTGCAGTCTGTTAAAAATGTGTAGTATATTAAACTGTCTGTAGTACCTGATGATCAGAAGTTCACTAGTTACAAATCAAACTTAAATGTGACATTAAGTTTGCTTGGTTTATGTAACTAGATTTCCATCTTTAATCTTGAATTTATTTTTCTTTGAATTGAAAGGTCAGGCCTCTACTTCAAACAGTCCTGGGACTGGCTGAAGCACAACATTTTCCTCCTCATGTCCTTCATCCTGATAGTCATATTCACCATAGTTGTCCTGCTGCTGCTTATTTCACACCTCTACCTGATCTCATGCAACACCACCACCTGGGAATTCATGTCATATCATCGTATCTCCTACCTGCGACACTCTGAGTTGGAGAATCCATTTGACCAAGGGGTAGTCCTCAATCTCTGGAGATTCTTCTGTTCGTGCCATCTCACTGCATGGGAGAAAATCTATTTTCACAGGAACTATGAGCCCGTCTAGACACAGTAGTGCCTTCTCAGCGGAATGCCAAGACATCTGCAGGTTGCTGGATAAAACTTTACTAATGCAATCTCTCCTATTTCCTTGCATGGAACTTTAGTACGTCATCAACTATGCAACCTGCTCCACAACCTGTTCATCCATAAACACAAGTTACATTTCAAGAAGGATGGTCAGGGTTATTTTTTATATATAAATAACACTGTTATAGGAGAGAGACTGGTTCTGGTAAGGGTGAATACTGGCCTGAGCAATAATATCTCTCCAAATTTACCTCCTTCTTTTAGCTGCACCCGTATCTCCCTAGAAAAGATGCAAGGAAAGTGTGAACAGCCATGTACCTTCCATTAACTTTCCTCTCCATTTGCTGCTAAGGAACAGCAGCCATTACAAACAAACCAACCAGAATCAATATCATTCCTGTGGCCTTTCTTCAGCATAGTTTTCACTGTGAGAACTGCAGTGCCTTTTGTCAATAGCGTTGGGCACATAATAGAAATATTTGAGTAAATATTTGGACAGTCAAAAGCAAATTTCATTTTGACTACATGCCTAAATTTCATGCTCTTTCACAGATTTGAGGTTTTATAGTATTAATGTGCATGAGAAACAGCTGTAAGACACCAAATTCAGCTTATGAAGTAATTAATCTATGCTTTGCAATGCCCTGACCAACATCTTAAAAGTTGTTTTTTTTTTCCTCTCTATGTTGATATTAACAATTCACGGGGTATCTTGAAAGAATTCAGCAAAGAATGATGGCATCCACTTTTCTTTTGACAGAAAAGCAATACTTGCCTACTAAATTATTTCTGCAGATAACCTCAAGCTCTAGGCCATCACTGTAGCTAACAGGGAAAGAGCCAGTAACAGAGGAGTGTACTTCTTGCCTAGCTCAAATAATACCTTTGGTAATACTACTACCTCAGCATATTAGTAAAACTGTAACGAAATAAAAAGTATCAGTGGAAAGGAACATTTGTTTCTATGGGATTAGTGGGTGCTGGTAGCATCCCAGGACAGCAGCAAGCTTACTTGTTTTCCATTGTAATGGTTCCTACTTCAAGTTTCTGTGAAGGACTAAAGGGAAAGTTAGAATGTGCAATTTTAGTCTTAAAAGCAGAAAAGCCTGTCGTGTGAATTTTAGTCCCGACTCTTTTCTGTTTAAAAAACAACAACAACAAAACTACCCAACAACGTAGTTAATATTATTTTGTGCCTTAATTGCTTTGAATTTATGCCAGAAATTAATGCCAGCTCAAGAACACATCTGGCATGCTGGTGGGATGCACTCAGGGTCTAAAGTTGATCAGTACTCATGAAGGGACAGTGTAGTGACTAATACAGCACAAAAGTCCAAGAGCAGATTGAAACAGCAAAAGAGTCTCTTTTTTTTTTGACCAAATTCAGTGTCTGTAAACTGCATCAGTCTGGTTTGTTCAGGAAAGAAACTCCTATCAGAGGGATATCAGGATGTTAAGAATTATTTTCATAATAATGATGTACAACATGGAAAGGATTCTGCAATTTGTTTGGTCAGTGTGGTGCCTGCCAAAATATGGCTCGTCTGCTAGTTAGCAATTACTGTTTCTTCTGATAGCAGTTGAATAAAAAATCGTCATCAGGTATTACAGCTCAAAACACACTGTGTTGCTCTGTTTGGTAGTTCTTTTTTAAATGCACTGGGATGGTAATTTAAAGTCTTTTTACTATACAAAGTATTAAAAGATTAAATACACCTTGCTTGTTTCTTTTTGACTCTCTTTATGAGCCTCAAGTTCTAGATTTTACCTGAACTAACAACCCACTGTGCCACTTACCACTTTACAGAAGCCTTGACCTTGAACAAAAATCACAAAACACACCACGGGAGCCAAAAGCAAGCCAACCATTACTATTCAAACAAGGGAGAGGAAGATGTATATCCTACTTTAAATGGTCCATTACGCTGTAAGGCAGAGCAGGAGGTTGAAAGTATGTTTTGTACACTGGAACGTTAAGAAGCAGTTATACTCAGCTCTGAAAATAGGAAATTGAGGTTCAGCGTGAAGTATTTGTTTAGCATAAACATACGCTCTTATTGAAGATCTTAAACCTCTCTGAATTCTGAAGCACTCAGACCAGTCTTAATTTAAAAAGGACAACTCATTAGCTGCACCCCAGCCTTATCCCCAGAAATAGCACAGTTGTATTAATTCAACTTCTGTCTACCTCTGTTAAAGATGAACTGAAAGAAAATAGCTGTGTGTCCCTATTTGTCTTCAGTGGGATGCTTCCCTTCTAGATATGCTTCCCTTTTTTGCCCATCAAGCTAACATTATGAATTTGAGAGAAGAAAATCTAACCAAATGTAATTACAAAGTATGTTGCTAGGCAAATGAAATCAGCTTAACTTCCTGATTGTCCAATATTAACACTACCAATATTTAGCTATCCCCCAAAAATACTGGATATACACACTGATAAAAAAAATATTGAGAAAGACAACTTGACTGCAATTAGTTGGATGTGACAGTTGATCACGCCATGCACTGTGCACGCAAACAACTTCAGTGAGAAGGGAGAAAATACTACCATGACATTTACAGAGAAAAATAAAATTGTGCCTGTTGAGCTTAATATGGTTAGCTCTGATCTGAAACATTCAGCTAACACCAAGGAGATGAAAAGCTGAAAATTCATTATAAGGAAAAGTATCTTTATTTTCAAAAAAATAGCATGTGCAAAGCTGTGGCTTCTTTATATTATTAAAAGCAATAGCTAAGATTTCACATCCTGAAAGAACTATAAAGAGATTCTTTTACCTTAAGATGTATCACTTGGATCATTACCAAACTCACACATCATTATCTTGGTTGTGTTAAAATCCATTCCTTCTTTGGCATACATACTTATGAGTAGGAATGGGCATAAAATCATCATAAAGAAGGAATGCTACATATCTATTCTAAAAAACAGGTGAGAAGTGGCCATCCTGCCTGGTATTATGCAACTTTAAAAATCTGTGCTACTTAGTGAGGCTCTTTCTAAAGAGCAACCTGGGATGCAGAGGTGACTTGGTTTCATTAAATTAAGTCCAGCTTAAATTCCACATTTCCATACATAATCAATGCCAGTGGAAGACATATCCAGTCAAAAATGAACTACTCCTTAAGGGTAATTCACATCCAGTATCCCTCCAGAAAACGAGGCTGAAAAAAACACAGCAGAGTAACTCAGCTTGCAAGGCACTTCAGTACTACCAGTGCTATGAAGTCTGTTGCCTTTTCTGTTGCCCATGCCAAGTCCTCTCTACACCCTCTTGAGATGCTAACAATTTGTTCAAGTTTCTTACAGCATGAGAATCAAACATCTAAAAGGTGTTTGGAGACAAAGTCAAAGTCCTTGAAGACAGCCTGCTCCTTATTGGTTAGGAAAGCAACCTCTTCCGGAGGAGTCACAATTGGCTTTTGCGATGTAAACTCTTCATCAAAGTTGCTAATGTCAGTCGGATCTCTTAAAGTGGGCACAAAAGGGGGCTTCAGAGTCCTGGCGTACAAAGCTGCCCAATCAATTTCCTGTAAGAGAGGGAAGTGAACAGGCTAGATCGACATTAAGATTATTTATGAAACATGAAAGTAAGGGGAAGGAAAAAAAACATGCTAAAGCAAACAGCATAGCTGGTGCAGGCAAGGTAGTACAGAGATCCTATACAGCCTAAGGCTGCTCTTTAGAACACCAAGGAACAAAGCTACAGCTCAAGCTATATTTAGCGGGATAAAACTAAAGTGCTGCTGTGGCCAGGTTTATCTGTGGACTTCCCCACAATTTCTGCTGACATCAAAGTTCTTTGCTTACTCTAGCGTAGAGCCAGCTGTGTGCTATAAGTAACTTCTGGCAGATGGGTAACAGCAAGGAGAAATGCTAACACCTTTGCCTAGAACAGACATATGCCACTGACCCAAAACAAGCATGTCTTTAACCCCAATTTCTCCTCGGCTCTTGTATATTCTGCAAATGCAGGTGCCATCAAATTGACTGGCAGTAACTGTCATCACTAGACAGCATCTTCTACTGCTGCAGCTTGATATATGAAGGGGTATTTGTTGATGGCTCAAAAGGAAGATCTATTTGTAGATAGAAACAGCACAATCAGAAATAACAAGCTGACCTGAAAACTTACAGGTCCCAGAAAACACACTTGGGAGGTGTCATTTCCAACATGAACTGAAACATGTATACCTGAACAGAACAATGAGGTGCAACAGAAGCTGCCACTAAGATGTCACAGGTAACTAATGGAAATTTGCCCCAATGCCAGCAGAAAGCAAACCACTCTCATCTCAAACACAAGAGCTGAAGGGGAGGGGACACAGTGAGTTCCTACCTTAAAAAAGGCCTGAATTTTAATCTCTTCTGCATCTCTTTCCCCTGCTCCCAGTCTACGTTCTGGACATTTCCGAAGAAGCTGCAGGAAAGATCAGTTCAAAATTAAACAACTGGAACAAAAAGATGAACAGAAATTCCCGAGAGAAAAACAAAGAGCTGGACCCACCCCTCAGTATCTTCTCATTCTCACTTTGCAGCAAGGTCATAACTGCTAATAATAGCTCGGGAATAGCTCCTTGTAAACAACTCGCCACCATCAGTGAGATACCCACCATAAACCGCATGTAGCATCTCATCTGAACTGTGCACCTGTAACTACTGAGTCACACTCAAAAACTGATTCAAGCCATCTTCACTGAACGACTCTGACATTCCTGCCCTTGAATCAACACTTCTCCATTTCAGTTAGCAGCAACAGACTTCAGTAAGAAGCCTGCTTAGTCATCCTTAGACAAAAGGATAGCATTTATGTAAAGAAAAGGAACAGTATGCGTAATTTTTAAATGTTTCCTTAGTCTGTGTAGGCAGCTATAGATTACACGCACACAGACACTATCAGCGCCTAACAGAGTCCCTCTGGATCCACTTAGAGTAAAAACAAATTCCTCAGACCCCCAGACGCCCCTCAAGCCATTACCTTACGGATTATAGAAAGTGCTTCAGATGAAAGGAATCGTGGATAGCGGACTTCATCATTTACAATACTATCAAAGACTTCTTCTTCATCATCTCCAGGAAATGGTGACTGCAATTGTAACATTTTTGTTTATTTAACGCACATAGCACCTGTTCCTTGCTAATAAAAAGGGATGAGTTGTACAGATTAATTACTTTTTGGCAAGCACTATGAACAAAAACAAATATATATATATATATACACACACACACACTACTATGCTATTAAATAATAATTGATAAATAGTTGGATAATTTCACCAAAATTTAATCTCAGGTGATCAGGTACTACTCTCCCCAAGACTGCTTGGTGAGATTCTTAGAGATAGGTGGTCTTACCTCACCAACAAGCATTTCATAAATGAGAACACCCAATCCCCACCAGTCTACTGCCCGAGTGTATGAGATGTCCGTCAGGACTTCTGGAGCCAGAAATTCAGGAGTACCACAGAAGGTGTTTGTGCGGTCTCCAAAACCTATTCCTGTAGGACAAGAATACTTCTGTAAAATCCAGCACACACTTCTAAATGGATCACAAAAAGTCTCACCTCCTGAAAGCCATAGATTATCACCTGATAATTTGATGTTGTTAACTGTGCAAGGGCTCTCATCAATGCTTGTAAATGCCAATGACAAAGTACTGATACTTCAAGTCCCTAACAATTCTGAATAAGAGATATACAGACAAAGCTTTAATAAACAACACACAGGAACATTCCTGCAGATTCCACTGCTCATTTCCTTAAGTACATAGCTCGTAGAATCCTGTATCATGGCTACTTTGAGCAAAGTGCATTATAAAGTCCCTCACAATTTTCCTGAAGAGAGAAGAGCAAAGTACTCTTTCCAAGTTTATCATGGTCAGACAGATGAGACTTTTTTTTTTTTTTAAATGGAGATGAATGCAGGTTTTATACACCCATCTCTGTACTTGTATATATGAACACCTCATCAAAGCTCAGACCCTAAAGTTTGTTCTGATGGTTCAATATCGGCTTCACCAAAGCCACTCACCTTCCTTACACAATCCAAAATCTGCAATCTTCACAAATCCTTCAGCATCTAAAAGCAGATTATCCAATTTCAGGTCCCTGCAGGGTGGGGGGTGGGGCAGGGAGAGAGAGGGGAGGTTGGGGTGAGAAAATGTTGGATGAAGTCTAAGGATTGCCAACACCCTTTTTCGCAAGAGGCAGAAACTAGATATTATAAAGAGAATAAAAATCTACATTGAATAAAGTCTACATTTGGCTTAAACAATAACAATGTATTATTTGGAAGATTCTCCTCAATTTATTAACATTTTCCTCTTAATGAAAGGCTCACAAAGCAGCTTAGAGCTGGGTGGGGCTTATTTTTCTGGAAAAGAGCATCCCACAATAGCATGACAAATTATTAAACTGTCCAAGTAAAAAAGAAAGCAGTGAGTTACAGGTGCCCCCAGAGCATATTGACATGTCAGAGGATGAATCACCTACAACATGTCAGATGAATAGCTCTTAGATGCCTTTCTTTACTGTAAGCACAATGAACATGCTGACAGCAACAAGAGATGGCAAAAATAGAGACAGAAAGATTAGAAACCCCAGCAAGACAGTTAGCTCCAGACATGTTGCTACATGAAAAATAAATTTCAAGTTACTGAACTATCTTATAGTTTATTTTTACTGCATTACCTATAAACAATTTTCTTCTCATGCAGGAATTGGAGCCCCAGGACTACACACGCTGTATAAAACCTAAAAAAGAGATATAGTTGTCAGGAAAGATATATAAGAACCGAGATAAGCGTTTACAGTGCCTGGAAACTAGACTAATTCTAACTCACCGTGCCATATGCTCTGGAAAAACATCTTCATGTATGCGCATCATAAGATCACCACCTGGAGTATATTCCATCACAAAACAAGCATGATGAGGTGTCTGGAAACATGCAAACATGTTCACAAGGAATGGATGATCAGAAGAATTGACCACCTCAAATATTCTCTTCTCACAGTTCAAGCTGCCAGGATTTAAAGAATTAAAATGTCAGTGTTAAAACTTGGCAGAAAAGAAATGTTAAGAAAAAATGAAAAAGAAATGAAAAAGAAAATCTTTACATCTTAAGTAAAATAAATGTTAATTTCTAGGCTAATACAATATTTATCTTTAATACTTCCAAACCTTGAATTTTAGATTGCTCTTCAGGTATATATCATTGCACCAGAAGCTAGAAAGCAGTGCTGTTCTAAGTTTCTTTATTCCTGATTTTAGTTACCCCATCCCTAAGGTCACTCTTAACCTTAACAGCACCAAGAGTGGTATACATCATACCTACTAATGGTTCATTACAGGTGTGATAACATAGCTGTGACAATAGTACCATCTCTAAACAAAGCTCACCTATCAATTTCATCTCTCCTAATAATATCTTTTTTCTTCAAGGCTTTGATAGCATACAGCTTCCCAGTTGCCTTGTATTGGGCCAAGAGTACCTGAAAGACAACAGAAATGCTGTACTTCAAACAAATGTTATTTTCTCGTCGGATTACTTTGACTCCCACTAACAAAAACTATTTCCATCCACTCCACACAGTCATTCTCAAAATCAAGCTCAAGTAATTTCAAAAATGGAGCACGTTTTCCTACTCTGTGCTGCAACAGCCCAGAATGGTGTCACTGTAAGTTATGTTCTTCTCAGAAGCAGTACTATTACAACTGGTCCAGTGCTTTAAAAACAAATCAGTGCTCTAACAGCAAGCAACTATGTACACACTTACGGGAATGAAGCTGTTCCACTAGTGATCACAGTGATAACAAAAAGAATGGTAACGATGTGCTCTGTGAAATGATTTGGCTCTCCATGGAGGGTTTTCTCCAGGCTTTGAAGCCACAAATCTTCAGGAGTTTTGGCTGCTAACAGGAGTTACCAGTGGTTTGTGCATTTGGGTTGGGTTTGTTTTGTATATCTGCAGTGCAACAAATATCTTCTGTACTGCAAAATTTGAGACTCCAAAGCAGAGACCCATCTTCACAATCACATTCCTACTGCCCTCCACAGAGCAAGCGCTTCTACACTACCTTCCCAAAGTGTCCACGTCCCAGCATGGCGATGCAGCGAAAATCCTCAAGCTGAACTGCCTTTTTTCTACAGAGAAACAAAGAAGAATTGCTGAGACAATACCCAAAAGTTAAAGAAATACAACAAAGGAGCGTGTTTCTGTGTTAGGGGAAGCAGCTCTGTACAGCAAAAGGGGAAGTGAACAGCTGCATCAGCTACTTCTTGCCTAGGCTCAAATCCTGAAAATTAGGCCTGCTGCTGCTGTTCTGCCCCTGAAGAAAGGAGCAGGTGACTAACTGTAAGGCAAGAAAACTGCTCCCAGTACTAGTACTCTGCCTTCCATCTGTACTGGCAACAGGAGCAACAATTCTGTCTCTCCAAGGCTTGTTTCCCATAACAGGATTAGTTGCCTGCATCCCCATTCTTGGGAGAGTAAAATTCAATTTTGCCTACGTTCCTTTCAGTAGACTCAACAGCAATTGTGATAATCAGACATGAACATATATATCACGTGTCACTAGGACAAAGGCATAATAAGAATAGAAGTTCTCAAACAGGAATTGGAAATGAAACAAGGAGAGACAAGAGACATAAGATGTTGCTGGGAAAAAAACAACATAACCAAATAAAGAGATTCTATAGAACATTATATCCGCTACAAGGTGTTACCAAGGAAACTCAGACTGAAGAAATGCTTGGAAAGAATTTAAAAAAAAAAAAACAACACACCACCCCTTCCCCTAAAGGCTTAGTCCAGGAACACCTTTAAAAGGCAGCAGATGTTCTGTACTCCACCAGTGAGTGAAATGAAGGTCTCAGTAGGCACCCATGAAGCAGTCAACTCCCTCCTCAGCCTTCTCAGAGAGAAGGTAGGTAGCATCTGACTGCATCCTGACTCTAGAGTTTTGAAGATGGAACCACACAAAAGTGATGCTGAAGATATGAAAATAATCTAAGATCTGAACTGAAAGATCAGCTTAGATAGATTTTATTTGTGCTTTTTCAGACAGTATTTGTTCATCAATAGTATTTTTTCAACTTGCCTTGTTTTTGGTGTATTTCTTATTATTTACCTTTTTTATAGGCAAGTTGTATATGAAACTGCCACAGACTATAAGCTCTAGGGATGCCAAAAGTGTTTCTGAAATTTCTCTCTTAAAATTCTACTTAGACATGTCTAAATGCACTTTATCAGAAAATTTCATACATAAGGAAGCACTGGAAGACAGACTTTAACTTCTACTGAAGTCAGCTATCACACTGTCTGTGGACATGTAAAGTTCAGAGCAGACTTTTCATGGTATTGTCCACACTTGGCACTAAGATCTGCTCCTGAGAAACCAAAGCATATTTTAAGCAGAATTTTGGCCTGTGTGCTCAAGTATTTCAGCCCAGTTCTTCTTTAACCTGTGACCCGAGACAGCCCATGCTGTCCACAGTTACCTTGGAGATGCCTGGATTGGAAATTCTGTTAAAGCAGAGCTGCAAGACTTCTCAACATGCAGCCTTTTCAGACACTAGGAACAGAGAGAAAGTTGCAGTATGTTATCCTTTGGAATCACCAAATCAGATGTGAGCACCCACATCCAAATTTCCTCCAGTGTAATGATCCAGCATGACACGTGCTTGCAGTTGGTCATCGCCTCTGCTTAGAGGGAAGCAGCATGAAAACAAGTTGTTTGTGGCCACACAAAACAATTCCCTTGTAAAATATTTCTTGGATAGGATGATCTCCTTTAAAAATAAAGGCTTTAAAAAGTTTAGGAAAAAAAATCTCTTTCTAGGATAAAGGCATTTCATGTCCCCAAAAGAACCACAGTGATCAGAGAACACAGTCTCCTCTATTGCCAAAACCAACCAAGAAGGGTTGGATGTGGCAGAACACAAGTTGTTAGCATCATCCTGTACAATCATCCTGCTCCTTCCTCTCAGGAAAGGAGAGCTCTTAGTTTTGCCCATTTTCTTTAATCACAAATAACTTTATCTGGTCCTAAAAGCCTGCTGACCCTTTGTCCCTACCTTTTCTGTTGAGTCATCTGTTTTGTACTCCTGTCCTGAACTCCCAATGCTGACCTACCTCCCACTCTGTTTCTCCAAGAAAAGCAACCTATAATTAAAAAAGAGCTGCGACACTTTTGTAAAGACACCGTGCCAAAACAGCTTACTGGACTCTCAACCCTTGGAGACCAGCCAGCTAACGAGGAGGCACCTGCCTGAAGTACAGCTAATTTCTCTGGTAACCATTACCGGAGAATCTGCAGGAGATGGTGTTGATTCTTTGGAGTTGGCCATGAGAAAAAGGCGTGGAGGCTTGGGTGGTGCTTCATCATCATAGGTAAGCTTAGCCACAGGAAAGTCACTGCATTGGTAAGATACAATTGAAGGAGAACCACTTAGAGCAGACCAGTATACACAGACACAAATGTATCACTTTTACTATGTAAGCAAAGTTTAGCTCTGTCCAATATACTAGACAAGAGACTGTTCGATTCACACAGCACGTCTGTGAAGTATTTTAAATTGTTAATGGTTAGACTCACATTTCAGCATTTCTCTGATGCTATAAAATTAATGCAACATTAATTTAACATAGAAATAAGTGACTGATCAAGAATTTAAACCAACCCTTGACTAGTAGTTGGCTGTTTTTTTTCTTTTCTAGGTCTTGTGAATCAGTGGGAATAGTTTCTTCTAGAGAATGACTAATTCTCTAACGACTAATTCCAACAATTTTAGAAAATTTACATTTTTTTTTTTACAGAATATTTAAAAGCCTAATTATATAACTTCTGAGTGTTACATTATGCTAGTGGTTGGGGTATATGTAACCTTTGAAAGAAGAGTACATTTTTTACCAAACAACTGCACTGTGACTTTGCAAAGAGTTTAGTTACTGTACCAGTGAAGATATTTAATGAGTGGAATTTTCTTTCCTTTACAGTGCAGAACCAGTACATCTTTCTGTGTATATAAAATAACATTTGAAAATCTGCTTTATTTTTTTCTGCATTATGGTGTTTACTTATGACCACTTTTCTGCCCACAGTTCTTACTGCAGAGGAAAAGAAAGCTACTGAAGATCCCCTGGCTCCGGAACACACCGCTTGTTAGGACAGCAATTTTGAAAATTGGTCCAGCTGCTAACAATAAATCAGAGGTAACCACAGGGTATTGAACAATGTACCAAAACCACATTGTTTCTGGCAGCATTGTCTTTTCTTAAGATCCTGAATTAAATTCCACAGACATAATTTTCTTATCAATATCTTTCTCCACCTTAGTAAGACGCAACAGAATTTTAAGGTGTGTGTTACTCCAGACTATTATCCAGCAATACTCAGCACACAACTTACCTACTCAGCTTGGTTATTGAGTCAGTGTGATTTTGTGTGGGAACTGGAGAGAAGTCTGTATGAATGGGATCATGAAGTGGGGGACTCAGAGTGCTCATTGAACTACACGGAGGGAGGAAGCTCATCATCAGGCGACCCCACGCAGCAACATTCATGTTCATTTGAGGAGCTCGGAGAAATTCTTTCCCTGGAGGAGTCATAGTCAAAACACCAGTGAGATTACAATGCATGAATTACAAACTCTTGTTAAAATACCATTTTTACCCAAACACCTGTGGGCTTACTCAAAAAATGTAGTCCACCCTACAGAGAATGAACTTTCTTTCAGGGAATGAAGTTTAACGATGATGAAAAAGATCTATTTCACCCAAGTTCAGATCCATATAGCATCATAACAATCCCCAAGTAGAAGCTGCATAAGATATTAAAAATTGATCTTATTTTAAGCCAGATTTTCTTCTGTTTCTACACTGCATTTTAATCATTCAGCCTGTTAACAGAAAGCTTCTGAAAATATCTTTAAAACAGTAAAACATTTGGTATTTTTTCATTATTTTTTACCACCTTCTAAAGAACACAAACATAAAATCTAATTTATTCTCACTAACAGTCCTCTGTATGTAAAATCTTACCTTATTCAGCTTCACAGGAAAAAAAAATGCAGGCAAAAAAAAGTATTCAAGTCATTCCAGGCCTTAAACTGAGATGCCAACACTAGCTTGACAGACAATCAATAGCCTGTTCATGCTACAATCTTGTATAATTCAGAGTTTTTCTTCCAATACCTGTTCTTTCATCAGTAATGACATTGCTGGGTAAATTAGTACAGCCTGAGTCCTAGATCTTGCTAAGAAATCTGTTAAATAGCTAGTAATTACATCTTCCTAACACTGGTAACTGTGAAGATAAACACTACAACAAGATCACAGCATCACACATCATGCTGCAGCCAGGCTGGCTACACTTTTTACAACCAAACAAACTTTCACATTCTAATAAAGCCTACACCAAACACACACACACACAATTAGCAAGCATTGTAACGTGCCTCACAAATTTAATGAGATAGAAGAGCATGCAAGACTAGCTGTGCAAACCCCTGCCCTCACCCACACACCCTAGATAGTAAGCAGTCAGTTCTCTAGCAGCTTACCTTTCTGTTTGGGGAAAATACGTTTCTGACGTTGCAGTTTTGGCTTTCTCTCAATGACAGGATTACAGAACATCACCTGTCAGAGAAGTAAACGCAATTTGTAAAGATGCTTTATTTACACTGTGAACACAAACTTGCACGCGTGCACTGTCATCAAATTCTCCATTCATAACTTGTTGGTAAGTTAGGAGTCACTCCCACAAACAAGATTCCAGACCTTGTTATTCTAGCTTCACCCTCTAAACATCTGTTATTTAAATTGTGGTTTTAGATGTTGGAATCTTTTGCTACCTGAAGCACAGAACCCCTCTCCCCAGATTAAGACCAATTCACATCCCAAAGAAAATGTATTTCATTCATAAAGCTACAGGAAAAAAATGGTTTATAATACAGCCATTCAAAGGGTGGGAAAAAATAGAACAAAAAAAAAAGAGGGGGGACAAATTTTGGTACATAAGGTGAAGACCCTACTGTTGGAAAGTTAACCCACAGAATCTTTCATTACAACACACAGCAGAAAGTACTGCAGCTTGTAAGGGATTATCTGGATGATCTCTTCATTGATGGCACTTCAAATTCTTTATTACTAGCCTCAGAAAGATGATAAAATAAGTATACCCAGAGGGAATTTGGATCTGTGATTCTACAGTCTGTGTAATTCAAACCTGACCATTAAGCCATATGTTTAATTAAAGTGTCACCAATGACTCATAATGAAAGCAAATAAAAAAAACAACGGATTTCACAGTGCACACACATAATTACGGAGGAGTAGCTGAAAAGTCACTCGAGGCTATGGCACGTGTACATCTTATTATATCACATTGCTCCTTATTGTTGTGTGATATTGATGCAAAAGGAGTCACTCTACCCTTCTATATTTTTGCTCCTTCTGTTCCTTGTAAATTGAATTGAACAACTGCTTTCAGGGCAGGGACCCTACATAGACAGAATTCTCTGAAAAAGAAACAAAGCTGACATTGATACCTCTGCAAAAAGCATTCCTTGGGGTTCAAGCAAGAGGCACATCCCATGGCGTTCGTTATCAAGGAAATCATCCAAACGTAAAAACTTCACTGCACACAGCTCTCTCCAGTCTCTCCAATAGATTGCAATTTCTAGCTCACGAGACTGGGCAGAATGGGGGCGGGGGTGAGAGGAGGAGAGAAAAAAGCAGAAGAGTTACGTACTGCTCCATGCTCTGGTCATGCCACACACACATTCTGTTGTAAAATTCAGTCAACTAGACTGTATGAATAAGAAACTTCTTTAATCCTTCTGTTTCCCCCTCTGTCTCTGATGTTTTCAGATCTTCCCAGCTACAGACCCTTTTGGAGGTGGCTGTCCTTGCTCTCCATTTTAGAAATGCTTATTAAAGTCACTTTGCTGGTAAGATGAAATAAAACTGCTCAGATACTGAGAAAAGGACAACGGATGCTGTTCAGGCTGATTCTCTGCCAGAGATGCACTGCCTTAGGGGGGAAGACTAAGACAACTGGTACATAAAAGGACATGAGGACAGTGCCAATACAGAGATGAATTAAATGGAATTGCAGCTAAATGAGCAAACCAGGTAAGGTGAAATGGAAAAACAAATACAACTCAGGAAATCTACGGCAGCCTTACCCGATCCAACTCAATGACAAAGCTCTGGTCCCACGCCTGGTTATTAACTGGTCCCCAGTTTGTTTGGCCAACCACTTTATTGTCCACTTTGAGCACAGCAAGGACTTCATCTGGACAAAGGAGAAAACATGGATTATAATCTTTTATATTGCTATAAAACTAAAGACAGTCTCTCATGCTGAAGGTGAATATCCCCATCAAATATAATTTCCATGAGATAACTATAAGGAATAGTTTTTGTGTTTTTTTTTTGTTCTCTAATCTTTGCAGAAACCAGGTTTCTCATAATTAAACTCACACCAGACTAACACTGTATCCAGATGAGATTCCCCCAAGCCCCCAGTGCCACTTACAAAATGAGGAACCCTATACTCACTACATAGGTCTTCATTCCGCAGGTACTTTCCTGCAACACTACGGCCAGGGATACCCAGGCCAACTCTTGTTCGGGAAAGGGACTTCAAATCACTTGGACTGCCAGGGACAGGAGAAGAACCAGCCATTCGGGAACGTCCTGGAACATTTTCCAATAGATCTTGACACCCCATCAGTCTCACTTCCAGTGTTCCTGAGAGATAAATTCAGGAGGGTAAAAAACGTTATTCCGTAAAAGCCAGAAGTGATTCTAGTCAACCTGTCCTCACAGAAGTCCAAGAATTTCTCAGGAAGTGGACTAATATCTTAAATGTACCCCAGGTTAGAACAGTATAGAATGACATAGAATAGAATAGTTCAGTTGGAAAGGTCCTAAAAAGATCATCAAGTCCAACAACCTATTTAATAGTTTAAATAGATTTAATAGATTTTAATAGACTACAAATCCATATGATCAGAAAGCTTTTATGGGCCTAGAAGAAGTAAGTACAGTTCATAGAAAATCAAATGTTCGTAAAACAAAAGGCATTACAACAATGAGAAGAAATGCAACACTTTTTTTTCTTTAATCCTCCCCACAAAAGTATGCCATGCAGGATTTATATACCTGTAAGGGCTGTAGGTTTGATGACTGAAGTAGGTTGGATAATGCCATGCTGAGCTCCCAGGGAAGAAGTATTTACCAGTTCCTGCTTGATCAGTGCTCGTTTTGGGTGATCAGGAGAAAGTTCACTAAGCTGATGTTCCAAGGACAAGCGCAGCAGATCAATCTTCTGAGAGGATTCTTGCAAACGACCCTGAGCCTAGCAATGCAAAGTAGAACAGACAGCAGGCAGAAGTTTCCCAATTAACAGCACCAGTCCAGGTACTATTATTCCTTTATGAACTACCAGAGATGGTCTCAAGAAAAGACCTGATAACATCTTACTAACAAAGGAATAAGAAGGAATATTTTCCTATACATCCTGACCACCCCAACAGCATCACTTTGAACATTCCTAAGGAATTTCATGAAAGCAAGGAACATTATTCCTAGAATTAAAAGTGACACCAAACAGCCTGTCCTCACAGTCAGGAGTTTCCCAGATTCATAAACCCTGGTCATTTCTGCTCATTTGTGATAAATCACTGATGTTGAGGCATAAACAAGTGCTTACCTCAGCTAAAAACTTGCGATCCTGTACCCGACTCCCTCCTAGGATCTTCAGCACATTTTTTGCCCCCTCAGCTACAGCAGCTTCAATGCGCAGATGATGTCTCAGCTCCTCAATGCGCAGCTCCACAGCACTGATGGTGGTCCCCAGCCTCACTGGCCATTTTGGAGATAAAATACAGTGAGAATGAAAACTGACTATTCTGGATCTTGGGGCTCTGGCCACATCTTTTGTGGGCTGTATGCTTAAAACACCCTACCTGCTGGATCCACTGCATCTTCCATCCCTCCTGCGGACTGAGATACCTTCACAATTTGCATGCGGATTATTTCGATCTTTGTCTTACTGTCTTGAAGCATCTGCTGAGCTGTAGCCAGCAGTTTACGCTCCTGCCAAAGAGAAAGCATGTGCAGAGAAAGGACCATGCTCATTAAAAATGGATAATGGTGATGTGTTCAGCATAGAGGGTGAGATGGCACCTGCAAGAAGGGTCATAAATGATCCTGAAATAGCTTACATAAGCAGTTATGTAAAGGAGACACTGCTGAGGATCAAAGACTTCGAGATCATTATCTCCATTTTTAGAGGGAAAGGACAGGTCAAGGAGTCTTTGATGGACTATGACACCAAGGGATAAAAAGAAGATGAGTTGCTACAAAACAGGGTCTGCCTTGTAGGTATGCAAGTTAATACCAAACCTTGCAGTCACTGAAACTTGTGACTGACTGATAAGCTGTGCTCACAGTATTTTGTGAGCAAAAGTTTTGAATAAATCAAAATAGCACAACCCTCTACAGTGCTGGTCTTACTGAATTAAGCTTCATAATAAGCTTGGATTTTTTTTAATTATCCTTTGAATTTTAAATATCATTATGTCAAGCTCAGTAAGTGAGATGAATACGAAACCATCCTAAACTAACTAGTGGTATCAGAACATTACACCAACTCAGTGAACAGTACCAATGCTTTTTTTAACTTTATTTTCTCAAGTCACCGATTGAATGTACCTATTTATACTGTCCTCACTACCTTCCCAAGCTTGGAAAAGATTTTCTAGAGATAGCACGTCTATCTTGTTACTTCCTGTAAGATATTTTTCTCCAGCTCAGAACAGTTCCAGGGACTGGATACCCACATTTTCTCTGGGCTACCTATTCTAGTGCCTCACCACTCTCATAGTGAAGAATTTCTTCCTAATACCTAATCTAAATCTACCTTTTTTGGTTTAGTCCCATTACTCCTTGTCATGTCACTAAACTCCCTGACAAAAGAGCAGAAGCACAATCAGCGTTCACCATGTAGAAATTGCCAACAGGATAAAAACCGCCAGACTATGCCAGCCTGGCTGCTGTAGTAACTCCCCTCTCATAGTGATCATCATCAGATGATTAACCAAAAGGCACAGGCAACTACATCATCGGCCAAAGTAAAATAAACTGCCCTTCCAGAAAAGCCTTGTGCTGCCATCCAGTAATCACAGATTAGCTTAATTTCTTGACAAATGAAACACAGTCCATCCAATTCCTTTTACATTTTTGCTAAACTCCTAAAATCTGCACATTAGACTCATTACGAAATGTTACTATCATATGATTAGTTGTCCCGTGCAGCATTGTGACATGCTGTCACTACGCTGAGGACAAAAATGCAGAGCTAGGGTTCAGTCAAGCAAGCTTTGCAAATTAATTTCTTTCACACACTACCTACCAGAGAGGGTTTGTGTATTGACTTTAAATACAGATTTTGTTCCAAGAATCCATGTTCCCAAATGGTTTATTCCTGCTTACCTTGGATGTTGCACTTGAATACATTTGGATCATATTCTCAGCTCCTTGCTTGACTTTCATTTCAACGTGTAGTTGCTTTTTCAGAGCTTCAACCTTCCTTGCCATGGGGTTTGGGTTTCTTTCCCAGAGACAAGGGTCTGGAGATAAAGACCCATCTGTACATAAAACATCATCAGTATCATTAATCTTTCTTGTGTTATTTCACTGGATGATTCTAAAAAAGAAGGTTAGGCTGTAAAACAACATGTAGCAAGGTCTTGCCTACAAAACTGACTGCAAAACTGTTTCAAATGAAGCTCAAGTTCATAAGCATTTCTTAATTTATCAGTGAACTACTCCTAACAAGCATTCTACTACTTTTATACTCATTCATCCCATAAACTACTTGGACGTTCAACTGCCCAGAAACTCTACTCAAATCTCTTCAATTCCATCTACAGCCAGCTCCTGAACATTGTCCATGCGCAGCATTCTCAGATGGTCTTCTCCCCACAATGATCTCTCATTTGCCTCCTTTCACCTTGATTGCCCCATGCCCAACATTTTACTGCACAGATTATTTAATTGGCTGAATACCAGCAGGTAACATTCCCACTGCTTGCAAGTCCTCAACAGAAAATGTAATTAAACTAGCACTGAAGCACTACAAAATTTTCCTCTCAATCGTGACTCATGGCATACCTGTCTTATTCTCCTCTTTGTCTGTTATGACAATCCTTGCATTAAGCTCCTGAAGTTCCCAATGAAGTTGCTCTAATTTCCGGTTAGAAGATTTCAGCACATGCTCTATATGAACAAGATTCTTTCTGTCTGTTGTCGCTTTACGCAGGTTCTCTGCTCCTTCTTTAATCTTCAGTTCTTTTTGTATAGCACGGCGAAGTAGTTCCTTCTCACCCTCCAGTTTTTGCTGGAAGCTTGGATCCATTAAGTTTACACCATTGCCTAGCTGCAAGAGACAGCTGCCCTGCAATCAAGCAGCATTCAGAAAGGGGATTTCAGAAATAACGCAGTTCAATCGTTTTTTTTCTTATGATATAACAATACCCTCATAAGATTCTACCTCTTTATTTCATTCAGCAAACGGTTCACACAAATTCTGAAGCCAACCTTTTCACAGAGATTTCAAGATGACCACACCTAGATTTAAATTCCAGAGGACAGAAGGCAACTTTGATCTTACTATGACATAATTTAGTTTTAAACCACAGTGGAGACAAAATCTTACTTTTCTTCTTGTTATTTAATGGCTACACAAATATTTGTTCTTCCAGTATCAAAGCCCAGCCAGTATTTGCTCTTGTCTTGATTAACTTTTACTAGTACGATGTAGTGGATACAGATTTTTATCTGCATATGCCTTGATGTTGACTTGACTTTCCAAAGACATCTAACAAACAACCTGTTAAAGATTTTTAGGAATGTCAAGACCATGAATTAACTTTGAGCTGCTACCCAAAGAAGAAAAATGTAACCCTTGCAAGAGTTTCTACAAATGAACAAGCAAAAGAATAAGCTTAACTTGCAGCTGTTTCTGAAAAGGTTACAAGCCTGTTGTCTCAAGCTTTGTTCCGCCTGTGGTTTCCAGGCAGTAAGACCACATTAAACTTTTGATTATTCTGAGTTGCATTAGCAGCAGCGTTTAGGTTTGCTCAGGGCTTTGTTTTATACCATTTTCAATGCTCCTTGTTCTGGTTCAATATGCCTCATCAACAGCTCTGGACGGCAGTGCTCTGTTGACAGACTGAACACACACAGTACAGGCAGTAGCAGCACCTGCATATCTCACCGACCACAAAAGCACTGAACTCAAAACAGGAGCTGGGAAAGCTTTATCCACAAGGATGCTGCCTAACACCTCAGGAAACAGACCCAAACGGGAAGTGATGCTTGTCTCTTCAACAGGAGAAATGGCTTTATGGCATTAAGAGCAATTAACGTATTAATAGGCTAGCATTAACTACTCATCATGTTCCCCACTTAAATTTAAAAGACATAGCTGCGCAGCCAAACTCTGCTCCACTAACCAGCTTGGGATCACACAGCACGTCAGCGACTAAAGACAGAATTTGAATCCTGACTCGCTTTCACATTCTTTAACTGGTTGACCACATTTCCAAAAATAAACCACACTGGTTTTGTATTATTTGGGTACATTACTATGCTTTAAGAGCGTGCTATACATCCAAACCCTACGCCACCCGCACACAGATACACAATTATTTAATCACACTATTTGTATATTTTATTGTGCAGCTTGAAGACCCAAACAAACATCCTTGATCACTTTTCAGTATGACTTCAGCCTAACAGCAAAATAATTAAAAAATAAAAAGGAAAAAAAAAATCTATTTTAAAGTTGGCCTAAAACCAAGTTGGGTCTGCAAGAGATGCACGATAGCCAAAATAGGAATTGTTCAGATTGGTAACAAAACAAAAAGGTTCAGATTAACATCCTGATTCCAGGAAGTTCTCGCCCAATTAGTAAAGCCAGGAACTAAGCCAGAGCTTTGAAAAACATCCAAGGTTTTGTGAGGAAGAACTTGAATCATGGAGTTCCTGAGTCACAGGCAACCTCTACCAGCTCTAAGTCGGAAAATCAGAAAGCTCTTTATCCATTCTGTAACGAGCAACTAAAAGGAGTTTGTTGGGTATAAGTTTCATTTAATAATCAGAAAAAGCATGCAGATCTATTTTATATCCAAACTATGCAAACAGAGGTAAGCAATCCACCCATTCCATCTGCCCAGAGCAACTGAATGAATGAATGAGTGGTGTGAGATTAATGCTGACAAATGGTACTGAATGCAGAGACCAGGTATTGATTCAGAACAGGTACAGTCAGAGCAGTTGTCAGGTCAATCTTCCTCCACATCACTCTGCCAAAAGTGAGCCTGAATACCAGTTAATGCACCATGCTCATTTTCTAAATATATTTAGGATATAAACACGGTCTGTTTTACTGTATCCTTCTTCCCCTCTGTAGATCAGGGAGTGCCACGACAAAGGCATTGTTTGCACCAGGAACACAAAATATTCTATTACTGAGGAGTACGAGAGATCCAAATTTGCATTCGGGTTGATGCATTTTGCATTCTGAGTCAGGAATGTCAGTGGGGTGTCAGGATACTGCCCCAGCCCAGGCTGCAGCTGTTCTTGGGTTCCCAGAGAAGGTCGCAGCCCTTTAGGGTATGTCTCCAGCACAATCCAGAAACACATTTACAGCGCACACAGAAATACCCAAGCTAGCTTAAATTAACTTGCTTTTTGTACTTTTAGCAGGGCTGCCAGAACCCACCCAGAACTTCAGCTAGTCTCATGCCTTACTGAAGCATCTAGATTGCTTCCTAACTAGCAAAGATTGCAGCGGGATCAAAATTACACTCGGTCCTCCAGATTGCAACCCAGAAAGATCCCATCCCTGGGGCTGCTACACCCAGCCTGGCAACGAGCTTCACCTGCACAAAGCCCAGGGTGAGCCAGCCTTTAGAGCTGCACCAGTGACACAAAAACTGATTTATGGTTTGATTTAATGAGCTAGAGGTCATGAGGCTGTCTCTGCTGCAGCCCACACGCATTCGCCGGGATGTTTTAAATCCCCTTTTTCACTGCAACTTTGTGCTGCAGCAACAAGGGCCATGTTGGGCAACCTCATGTGAACTACGTTCACTTTTTATGAGAAAAAGCCACTGCTAGGTTTAGAAAAAGGCAGCTGGAATCCCACCCGGAGCCAGTCCCCTTTCCAACCCTGAGGCAGGGAAGGTTTCCTAAGCAAAGAGCCCAGGCCAGCTGCACGATGGGGAGCCCCTCATCGGGCCTGTAGCAATGGCACCGAGAGCTTTGTGCCATTGCTTCTCACACAGATTAGGCTTGAAATACCTCCAGCAGGCGAGCATCTCCCCTGTTGCATAGGGCTGACCCCAAAAATTAATGCCCTACCCAGCGGGGAGCCTCGCTGCGCCCTCCTCACACACACCCCTTCGCCTCCAAGAGGGGCCCCGCTGTTCGGAGCAGGCACCGGCTTTACCTGAACCCCGTTTTTCTGAGGCGACCATTTTTAGGGACAAATCTGAGGGACATTTATAGGGGCTCCCACCCTCCCTCCTTCCCTCCCTCCCCAGAGGGGGCGCGAGGGCGGCAAACCCCGCTGCCCCCATACCCTGCCCAGCGGGCAAGGGGCTCCAAGCGGAGCTCAAAGCCCGGATTTCCCAGCGGGGGAATGGAGGAGACCCCCAAAAAGCAGAGGGGGGACCCCCAACCCCACGGGGCGAGCACCCCGGAGGAGGATCCCCATCCCCTCAGGCGAGCCTGGCCACGCCGGCTCCCCTCTGCGGCGCTCACCTGCGGGGTCCCCGCCGCCATTGCTCCGTGAGGCACCGCCAGCAACGGGCACTTTTCTTTCTTTTTTCTTTTTTTTTTTTTTTCAAACTTCAGCCTTCCCGGGAAGCGGCGCCGCCAGCGCCCTCTCGCGGGGGCCGGGCGAGCCCGGGAGAGTTCCCGGCGGGCAACCCTCAGGGAACGGGGAGAGGAGGAGAGCCGGGAGCGTCCCATCCCCACACCCCGCCCGCGGTGCTCCCCGGCCGGTCACGGCTCCCAGCCCTGTCGGGAGCTCGTCCCGGCCGTCTTCGTTCGCCATGAGTCGGGGTAGGGGGGGGAGAGAACTGGCGGCGAGGTCCCGCGGAGCGGCCGGCAGCAGAGCGGCGCCACAAGCCGGACTCTGAGGAGCCTGAGGTACCGCCCGCTTCCCGCCGCGGCGAGGCGAGGCTGGAGGGGATCCGTGTCCTCCTTCAGGCACAAAACTCGCGGTTTTGTGCCAAAGTGGCGGTACGGGGACACGAACGGGCACCAGGCTCCTTAGCTCGGTGCCTGACATCTCCTCCAAGCCGGGTGCTGTGAGAGGAGACCCCCGCGGCGTGCCCCAGCCCGGGCACGGTTTGTGGTGCTGGGACCACTGAGGTGGTTTCCAGCCCCGGTTCTGCCCCAGCGGCTTGTAACCGGCTTTGTGTGAGGGGGACAGGCAAAATGCTGCCCTCCCTTACACGGGGTGCTGCCCTGGAAAGGGGAGGACGACTGTCTCCAACACTGCTCTTTGCCTAATTTCCCCTCTGCAGAACTGCCCCTCTGTGGAGCAGGATCAAGATCCTGCCTTTTCAGCTGAATATTTGAGTCAAAAATAACCTAAATGCGTTGACAAAGCTCTCAGTAACCCCCCAGCTTTCATCAGTAAAAACCCAGCGTTTTTACTGGCCCTGTGTTTAAAACAAGTGAAAAAGGCGCTTTCTGCTTTCAGGTGGTAGAGACCTCCTCTTCTAAGATCCCTCCTCAGCAGTTTTGCATAATATTATTATTGCACGAATACACACATTCTGTCCTGAAACAGTACACAACCTGGAGTCAGAAGGGAGCCAGAGCTGACAGTATTCCCACATACAAAGTTAGAAGGATGCTAATAAACAGAAATGTTTTCCTTTTATTTAATTAGAGCAGATTTTCTAACATAAGCATTTTGTAAATGGTCTGCAAGTGAATAATTAGTAAAAGGAAATCACCAGAAAATGTAAAATTGAAATCTAGTTTAATCAAGTTGAATTAATAAAGCTTTAGACTTCTATAAAACCTTTGAACACACTCCTGTTGTTAATAAAGCAAGTGCATTAGATTAATAGAAACCCGTCTGGAACCTGCTGCTATTTGTAACATGGTCCAGGCTCCATTTAGCGCTTAAGGAATGACTTTAATTAGACTGTTCATTCACTGGAAATACTGGAAAGGGAAAAAGATAAAGTAGTAGGCATTGAATTTTTTGAGCAGGGGCATTGCTGCATCTGTAGTGGGCAGGGATCCGGGCCCCGTTTGGCTCTGTGAGCTGCAGAGGCCTGCTAGGAGCCCCCCGAGGTCGGTTTGCCCAATGCTGCAATTGGGCTTACAGGGAGACTTCCCCCCTTTCCTTCACAATTTATCCCCTCCCAGGGAGGCAAGAGAAGGGCTGAGAGGCAATTTATGGAGCCTGGGGAGCAGTTGGCCAAGGTTCGCTTGGCTAAACAAGTCATCCAGCCTTGAGGGATGGGCTGGCCGGTGTCTCAGAGCATGTGTGCTCCCCAAAGCAAGGCTGCTCGGAGTCCCAGCTAGAAGCACAAAGTGCCCATCCAGCCCTTCCAGCATCTTGTTGGGAAGAGGTATTTAGTGGGCACTGTGAGCTGGCAAGCAGCACATACGTGTAGGACCCAACTCCTTGGGGTGCCAGGGATACTCACAGGCCCAGCCAGCCCTCTGGGCACAACTTATGCTTTTGGAGTGCCAGTCCAGGAAGCCAGGAGCATGGGACTAGCATGACGGGGCAGGCAGGCTGCATTTTCCAAAATGCAGGGGGAGTCCCAGGCTGGAGCCCTGCATTTGTTTTCCAGCACCTCCTGCAGGGAGGGATGGAGGTTAAGTCATGTGCCACTGTCGGACCAGCAGCCCCTGTCCTCTGCTAAACCTGGAGGGGTAGGAGTGTGTGCAGGACCAGTTGGTAGCTGAACTGCAACTCCAGGAAAGCCTCTCGGCCCTTGTGCTGGGTTGGCTGCAGTTATGCAAGCAACAAGAAGGAAAAAAGCACAGGGGTAAATGCCCCCTGCCTTTCACCTTGGCCAGCTCAGCACCCATTTCACACTGCTGCCCCAGGCAGAGGATGCAGAGAGCAGCAGAAGCAGCTGGATGGTGCTTCCCTTTACTCAGTGAATGTGCTGTAGAAGTGGAATCAAGGAAAATGTCTTAGGAATTTCTGGTTTTGAGGCAGGAGAGAGAGGGCAAGAGATTAAGCATAAATCTGTTCCCCTGCAGAAGCCAAATTCTTTTTATTGTCACCGATGACCTGTCACAGTTACCCTACTGGGCACCTGAAATCCATAAAAGAAGTGAGCACTATCACCTCCACCCCTGAAAGATGATGCAGGCTTGGGGACTAATAGCTGATTCTTTTGAAAAAGACTCTTAGAAATGGTAACATCAAGTAACAGTTAAAGGTACTTTAATTCCTTCAAATAGAAGGATAGCTTGAAGGTACATCAGAGAAATGATTTCAATCTTTTTTTTTTTTTTAAAAAAAAAAAAGGCATGGCTTCGAAATTCAGGAACAGCATCAGATAAACAAAGTGCTACCATTATGCACCTGTTTTAAAGTGGTACAAATAAGAAGCTTACAGATTCAAATGAATGGCATAAATGACTGAGAAATTGATTCAGATGATGGTTGTTTACAGGGACAAAACCTATATTGACAACTATGAATAAGCACACATGGTATGTTAAAAAACCTATTTACACACATGGATATATTTGCTTTCCTTTGGCACTAGGAATTACAGACAAAAAGATTCCATTTTATAGCAATTAAATTTCAAACTTAAAATAAAAATAACCTTCAAGTCATTTAATTCATACAGCCCCAACACAGTAGCTTTAAATTGCCACCAATTCTGTATTCTAACCCTGGAAATTCAGGCCACAAAGCCTAAATTCAGCTTCCACCCGTGACAAGTTTCATTCAGCAGGATTAACTGGATGTGAGGAGCTCAAGCAGCATTGGAGAATTAACAAGAGATAGACACAGATGTTTAATGAGAGTTAATCTCCCATTCTTATCCAAGGTGGACATCTACCTTTAAATGCGTTTCGTATGCATAAACAGATTAAATCAAGTAAAAATGGGCATCCATTACATATATTCAGTCAAATTAGACATTAAGTGAACAGTCAGAGCACATGATGGCCATCTGTAGTAGTTCTTCAGTGTTGCAGAGAAATGTGTTAATCCCTACTCATTTCCATTTCTAGAAAAAAAATAATAATTTAAGATTACACTTAACAAATACAGTTTACTTTTTTAGTATGTTAGCTTACTCTTTAGCCACTGCCTGGAGTAAGCCAGTAACTTTCACAGGAAAATCAGTATTATTAATACAGTAGCAAGAGTGTTTTGTCACCCTGTAAGATCCTAAAGAATGTGTAAATGTGTACGAAAACCTCAAAAGTAGCATTGACTATCCAGACACTTCATTTCTTGTTCATGGTATTTGACTTTACAGAACCTGAAGCTTTGATTACTTTCAAAACAGTTTTTATGTTTTCTGCTAGTAACAAAGACATGTTAACAACAATGGCACAGCATTTTTCACAAAGCATTAAAGTAGGACTAGCTAAAGATTCTTTTTCCTTAAAGAACTACAATCAGTTAGGATTACATAAAAATTAAGTAACATTTATGAGGCATCAGGGCAAGTAACAGCACATCAACCTGCTACTGCAACAGGTAGTGGACTTTAATCTTATAACAATAAGGAATCAAAAGAAAAAATTATAGACTTCATAGCTTACATTTGTTCTCTCTCTAGATGGCAAGAAACCATTACAATTAAAATAATTTGCTCTGCAAACAGTAAGATCAGGGCAGAAGCTTTTGTTTAGATGGAATAAAGTATGTGGCTGCCCTATTTTGCACTGATCACAGGCAGACTGGATGTTGCATTGTCTCCGATAACTGGACTGAATCCAAGATAGACCCGACACTTACAGAATACTCTTTCCCCCCATGTTATTTGGGCACCTCTTAAATAGAGATTAATCTTGTTCTGCTACGTGTATTCTTAAGCATCAAAAAAAGCAGAATTTGACTACAGCAAATTCTGCGAGGAAAAGGAATCAGAGAATATAAGAGCAAGTCTTCCCAGAAGACAGTCTTCTCTACACATCCAAAGAGAACTAGCTGTTTGAATTTGAGATTAGCTAATACAATCTTTTAAATATTTCAGAAGCACAGCATGTTAAAAACAACTTTCATTACACTTTGCAGAATATCAGTACCAACGACCTCTACGTGAAATCATTATAAGCTACTCAAACGCAGTCTCTTAACATGGGGGAAGAAAAAAGTACATCCAAAGCATATATACATGCTGCTACTGAGAGAAGAAAGCAGTGAAGTAGCAACTTCTTCACACAAGAGCTTCACAAAGAATCTTGCTAATTGAAATAGCCCAAAACGTTAGCTTGCACTTAAGATTTTCAACTGAAACGACTTCCAAAGCCACCAAAGTCTTACTAGGAGACCCTTTGGTCTTTTTACTCTGAACTTGCATGTTTGTGGTTTTTTTCATGCAAACTGATTTACTGGAGATACAGTACTGCAAGTTACTTACTCAAAAAATATCTAAGAATCAAATGATTTTTCTTTTTGCAGATTATGAATATATATATATATATAGTCTGTCTTCACCCAAAGTATATATGTACCTACAGCCTCGTCTTAGAGTTATGTAATTCAAAAAAACGGAGTGTGCAGGAGTAGCTACCAGATGAAACACTTTCCAAATACTGTAATAATGGAACCTGAATGAACTGAGTATCAGTCCACAGAACCACAAGGTTGCATTGCACTACATAAATACTGACCAAATGCCCCCAAAAAAGCCAAGAAACTATAAGCAAGGTCAAAACAGGGTATTACAGCTGTTTCTTTCAGTGAAGACCAACCAGTCCCTTTGTGTACACATTTAGTTTTATTGTAACAAAGCAACTTGTACACTTTAACGTTTAAAACTGAGCATCTTTCTTTCCTTTCCAGTGAAACAAAAAAAAAAGAATTTAAAAATAAACAAGAACAAAATTACAATAGAGAATGTCAATTCCAAATAAGATCCTACAGGTTCTGCTCTGATTCTCCATCAAGTGGCAGGGCTCAAAGTCATCATTAGGAGAAGATTTTATTTTAAAAGTGTCACCTTAAACTGCGAGGATGTTTGTTAAACATCACAATTAAACATGCCAAAGGAGAAGAAGCCATGTTGTCAAAATGCCCACTTAACCCACCCAAACATCTGAAACCCACCCCAGCTGACCTTCTATAACCCCGTTTTTTTTTTTATTTTTCTTTTTTTTTTTAAACAAGAGAAAGTAGACAGATACATGTTGGTAAATGCTAACTGTCCATATTCACATAGAGACACAGTGTAATCTCTGAGCCCAATATACAGAGAAAGAAGGAAAAAAGCTAGATTCTATGCACTACTACACAGGGGCCTAGCACTCTTCAGCTTCCAGCAGAGTGAAGGGAGCAGAAGGTTTTCTTTTTTCCCACAGAACATGGTGTGTTGATTCCATAAACAGTTTTTGTTTTGAGACAGAAAGGGATAAAAATGAACTTGAAACAGAAACTGGTAGATTCTTTTCCACTGTGTTCTGCTCAAGGTATTTCCCCCAAAATAAATTGTGAACCATGGTGTAGAGGAGAGAAAAAGAGACCTCAAGAGAACAAGGCGACTGAGCACAAGAAAAAAAAGACAGCAACTTGCTCCCAGGGACTGGAGAAAAATTAAAAAGGTAAAAAGGGGGGGGGGGGGTTTGGAATCCATCAGTGTTCAATTAGTCGTCTTCTCCTTCATCCTCCTGTTGAAAGATAAGCGACAATTAAAAAAAAAATCTATATCACTAAGCTTCAGATAGCACGACCTTTTAAATGCAATAACCAAAATGTTTTGCTACCCGAGAGACCACAGCCCTACAGTATTGCTCGTGAAGATCTCTCTCCCTCTTCACTAAGGAATAGTAACACTTGCCATGAATATCGATCCATATAGAAGTCAGTTAATATCGGATGTCGCAGTGAAAAACACATCATGCATATTAGAAAAAAATCCATGACTTAAAAATCACTACAAATATTAGCGTAAGTTTAATACTTAGAAAGACTATTTAGAGTATTTATTAATATTCTAGGCTACAACTCATTATTCAGAATACAGAGTGTCTGGTGCCACAGCAGCCCTCCTGCCTCCACAACCAGGAACATGCTAATGCTAAGCCTTAAGTTACCAACACCCTGAATGGTGTCTCTGGAAACCCATTTGCTGCTACAAAAAACTGCTAATTCCTGAACCCAAAGAATCTTGGCTAAGCTGGCAATAAGCCAAAATAAATCAACAGGTGGGAGGATGACAGAACTGGATGCATCAGCAAGAGCTTTTTACAAGTAAAACTTTGCTAGAAAGTTCACTGAATAAATTTTGTTAAACTAGAACAGATGCTAATATCCTAAATCACCTTGAGAACCTTCCTCGCAGTAAGTTCACTAAAATTATTTATTTGCAGTCTCACGTACACAAATGTAATCATCACTACACTGAAGCTATGCCACAAATTAAAGCAGTTAACAGTTTTGCTGCTCTCCTCCAATAAGTTTGTCAAAGATTTTACAGAAATACTTCACTACTTCACCTTTGTACCAATGGCTCATTACACTTACAAGAAGGTCCCTCATAAATTTCTTATTCTCATACACCAGAGACGGAAGAGGTAAAGGATGAATGCTCACCTCGCCTTCCTCTCCCTCATCATCATCTTCGTCTTCTTCCCCCTCATCTTCGTCTCCTTCTTCATCAATATCCTCCAATCCTTCTTCCTCTTCATCATCGTCATCATCCTCCTCTCCTTCCCCTTCTTCATCATCCATATCAGGAACCTTAAAGACACACATGGGACATTAACTACAGTGATCAAATTCACTTTTACCTGCACAGTGTTTTGGTGAACACAGAGCAACAATGCAGTGCTATACTTACCAAGTAGTACTGCAGTGGATTTGGCCAGATGTCATCCTTGATGACTTCTCCTAGCTCATCAGCCCCTGCATCAGAGTGGTCAGTGAACCAGGTAAAGAAACTTTCTGGCTCTTCATGCTGCCTCTTCCTACTGGCTTTGTTCTGTGTCTGGCTTGAACGTTTTGTCAGATCCTGAAAAGAAAGTTGAGAAGCTCCCTAAAGCAGCAGTATGTGCATTGTGTCCCTCCCTCTTTTTTTTAAGAAGTACCAATTAGAAGCATACATGTCTTAACAACCATAAGAAGTCACTTACTCCCTCTTTCAGGGACGAATCTTAAAGAAACTATTAGAACCAAAAGGACTAATAGCAAAAGGTATCACTCAGCAGTAAACCCACCTGCTTCTTTTAATGCCTTCCACTGAAATACTGAAAACTCACAGGATCTTGCATTTTTCTTTATGTTTCCCTGTCACAGGGCAGCCCAAGTATGACAAATGTTTACTGAAATGCCAAACTTAAAAGATCTCACCAGCGCTTAATACTACTTCAAGAGTTGTTATTGTAGTTAAATGCTACAATTGCTACATAAACACAATTTAAGAAACACTCAGGCTCCACACCTCTAAGCCCTGTCCTTAATAGTGAGATAAAGAACCGCCTAGCGTTCTTAACCCAAGATTTTCTGCTTTGAAGTCTTAAGGCCATTCATTGTAGTAAGTGAATTAAAAATTAGCAGGAGCCACTAAACCATATGGTCATGAGAAAATACATCCACCACCTTACCCCAGAAGGTTGGCAAGTTTGCCACACTGTTTGCTAAGTTTGAAAAGAAAGCAATTCTCCTCTATTTATTCTTTATTTGGTCATAAGGTAACTCCAAACTCCCAAAGTTTGCTTTCTTGATAGAATCACATTATATATATATATATATATACACATAGACTTTTATTTTTTAATGAAGAATAGTACCAAAATTCACATTAATTTTGTGGTATATTGTAAGACCATTCAGCTGCTTCGTTCAGGACTGTGATTTCTATAAATAGGAAAAGTTCCAGTTCTCAGTGAAAAAAAGGTTTTCTTGTCCTGATGGTGACAAAACAAGCAGCAATTTAAAAGCAATCCCCAGTTCTACTTTAAAATACTAATTTCAAAGCCTTTAGGATAAAATGAAAGGGCTCCCAACTCTTACAGAAACTACAGAACATTAGCTTGGTTTTAATACTGTCTGGAAAATAGATATGCCCACATTATTGCATGGATACTACTTCTCTAAAGACATGGTGTGTGGAAGGGAAATTAAGAAAAATAGAAAAAAATAGAAAAAATAGAAAAAATTAGACACCCCCTATTTGCCCCACCCCTTCCAACCCCACTGGGTTTGGAATTCCTAATTTCACAATTATCTTAAAACAACAAAATACAGCCTAGATCCATTCCAAAGAGAGACAAGCTAGAGTACTTGTTACTCTCTCCATCTGGTCATACTTGTACTTTCACTGTTTTAATTGCGGTGCTCAACTGAACAAGAGAATTCACTACAGATCTCCACGTAAACGGTGTGTGCCAAACCTTGCAAGAGCTACATATATAGAAAAGTGGGGAGAGGGTGGAAGGGGGAAGAGGCAGCTTCAATTAAGAAAAAAAAAGAAAAAGAAGAAAGTAAAAGGAACATAAATGAAAGCAAAAGTACGTAGAGCAGCAATTATCTCTCCCAGATGCACAGATACGTACCTTTCCAGATTTCCATTTGATCTCAGTTGATTTTGAAGATGGGTCTCCACTTTCATTCAGATGAAACTCTTTGGAGAGAACTTTATTTTCAAAGTATGGATTCTCATCAAAATACTGCAGATTTGAAAGCAAAGAGTTAGAACCCACCAATGTAAGCATACATGTGCCAAGTCAAATCTTGTACTAAACAGATAACTGAAGAGATTAAGTTACAAACTACGACCCAATATATAGCCACATTCAAAAAAGCAGCAAAGTCACAAGTGAAAGAATATTTAATGTACTCACAAAATCTATTCTGTAACCTGATTTGATGTCTTCGAATTCTGTCACCTCAACTCTGGTCAAATAATGCAGTGCTTCTTCGTCTTCTTCTCCCAGCAGTGCAGATACTACGATAGAATCAGTAGTCCCACATTAACAAAGCTCTGAAATGTGTGTCACTGACATGAAATACAGGAAATTGACATTATATAAAATGGGAAAAGCAACACATTTGTCCAGGCTGACTTCTTGTGGCCCATTTTTTTGAGGTAGCAGCCAACAGACTACTGGCATCTGTGATTCTGATGTTATGTTTGCTTGTTGCAGTTCATTAAAAAGCAGCATCTATCTATTCTTCTCTCTAAAACAGATTTCCAGATATGTGGTTTGCCCAATGTAGGCAGTGTATGGACTTGTTTTTTTTGTCCTGTTGGAAACAGCACATTATCAACAGTCCTAAGGAGATCACCCTAAATTAAAAAATAAAACACCAGAATCCTCATTTTCTTTAAAAGAGACTACTAATTGATAAAGTGTGAAGCCTGTACTTTATAATACAGGAAGAAAACTACCATGGAATTCTAGCGATCAAGGTGTTCCTTCGGTTAACAAATGTAAGAGCTAAAAAGCTTATAAGACGCACACTAGGACAGAAAGGAAGTGTTTGCATATGTACCCATAGGCTTCTGTTTAATGCCAAGTAACTCTCCTAGAAAACACTAAGACACAAGAGGCTCGTGTTACATGCAAGGAAACACTGAATTTACAGGGGGAAAAAAAAGGGGGTGTATTAAAAATATACCTTGTGGGTGGTTGACAAATGTTGTTACCCAGAAATTTGGGATTTTGGCGATCAATTCTGACCTCTTCTGGAAGAATGGTTGGCGGAGTTTGTTGTATTTCTGTTCTACTTTCAAAATTTCCTCACTGGCTTGTTCATTCAGTCTGTAACAGACAGAGCCACGTTAACCTCAGGAGAGAGAACTGAAATTTGAAGATGTATCATCAGTATTTAGCTATAAACTGAATAGATTTAATTGAACTAGTCAGCCGCGCACAACAAATGAGGGAGCTCAAACAAAAAAAAACAGAAGCTCAAACCTGTAACCACTATTAGGAAATACACTACCAGAAGCAATCACGCTCATCTTAATGAAGCGTTCTTTACCCGTCTTTCAGCATTACATGAGGGACAGACCCTTATTTATGCTAAGTAGCCTCTTAAGCGTTTTGTTTGCAAGTCACCTGTAGATGGACAGCATATAAAACTATCACCTGCCCTTTATAATTCTGGGGCAGGAAAGCATGACTGTAACAAAAGCAGTTTGGTACCACACACAATTGAAGTCTTAAAGACATTAACACTTCGTTGGCTTTGTAAAGGTTAGAGCCCTGAGACTGCAACAGTTCCATGAGGACAGAGCCTCACTTGTCACTTGCACTTTGTAGCACAGTGCACGTGGAGGTAAGATACAGGCAAATACTGACACAGAACCCACAGAGTTTGGGGATATGAAACTAATTCTTCAGTGACATTTCCTACCTATTATTCTACAAGCACTCAAATATATAATAAAGATTTATAATAAAGCTAACTTTTCAACCAAGTTTTCAGTTCTGCTTACAAACTTGAAAACACTTTTGCAAAGCAGCGTACAAATTAACTTCAGAAAGCAGTGAGAAATAAACCTTTTATCAAAACTATCACAGTGAATTAGAAAATTAAGCTCAAGCTCTGTATGTTTAACTTTAAACAATTAAACAAGAAATCAGGATATTTCTTCCGATTTTTTGATTTTACACAAATACTTGTTACATCTGATCAGGCCAGAACTCAAGCATATCATGTGGGAATCTGAAAACACTGAGAACTACTACCAAGTGCTTACTTTACTAAACATTTTATTACCGTAAGTCTTTTAATTCCTCCTAAAAACTTCTCACGTTTTTTAATGGTTACCTGTCTATTTCATTCTGTACTTCATCAATGTGTTCAATTGCTTCCTGTTGCTCTTTTTCTGAAAAAAGAATGAAAACGCATCAAAATCCCTTAATTCTCAAGTCTGACAAATCACTTGGAGTTTTCTCCTTAGACCTTTTCTAGAGATTTATTTTAGAAGTACAAAGGTATTTCTACTGAGTGTCTTAAGTGTTACTAAACCATAAAGCCTCAGCTACTTTCAGGGAAAACTATGGCTGAAGCGCCAAAAAGTTTCCTGAAACGGGACTTGGAGCAAGTTTACCACCAAAAATCCCAGCTCATGTTCCTCTATACAGTTTTACAAGTCAACTTAAATGGTAAATGAATTCTGACAGTTAGTACTAAGAACGTACTAAAGAAGTTGCACGTCTAAGACCAACAGATTTAAAGGAACGTGGAAGCATTAAATAATTTAGAGGGGACAACAGCATCAATGGAAACAGCATAACGGGGAACACACCGCCTTCAAAAAACCAAAAAGCACGCTGAATGAGGAAAAAAACCTTCAAAAGCATGTTGAATTAGGAAAACAAGGAAAAAAACCCTTCCAAGTCACGGTCGGGCAGATAATTTCGCGGCAGAACTTCCCCTGGACAACGCTTGGCAAAGCTCTCGATTAAAGGCCGCCTGTTTACCTAGCGTGCTGGGGGATGAATGAGCGGCAGCGGGAAGCAGCCGGAGCGGTGCAGCCCCAGCTCTCAGCTCCCATCCCCGCAGCAGCAGCCAGCTCTCCCCGCGGAACCCGCAGGTGCGGCGAACACGTGCGGGGCCCTCGGCAGCGGAGAGCCGGGGCAGGAGGCAGGCGAGCTCGCAGCGCCCTTCCTCCACCGGTTAGAAACCCCGCTGCTGGGCCGATTTCGAAAAAAAATAAATTAAATAAATTAATTAATTAAAAGAAAGAGGTAAAAAAAAAAAAAAAAAAAGCCGGAGGAGAGGAACCGCCGCGATCGCACGTGGGGGAGGCGCGGGCGGTTCCTGGGCCCGGCCCCCGCAGCACCGCGTGGCTCCCGGGGCCGGCCCCGGGAAGGGCCCCGGCGGCGGCTCCATCGCGGCGCGGCGGGGGCAGCACCACGCGGCGGCGGCGCCGAGCCCAGGAGGCGGCCGAGCAGCATCATGGCGGCGGCGGAGCACAATGAGAGAGGCCCGGCGGCCGCCGAGCGAGGAAGGGGGGGGGGGGGGGGAGAAGGCAAAAAAAAGAAGGGGGCAAAGAGAAAAAGGGCAAAGCTCCTCAACCGGGCGGGCTGAGGTTAAGGGGGGGGTCTCTGCTGCTCCAAGCCGAGCCCGCAGCGCCCCCCGGGCCGGCCCCGCCTGCGCCCCTGGGGAAGGAGGCCGGGCCGGGGAGCGGAGACAAAAGGGCGCTAACATGGCCTCCTCCTCCTCCTCCTCCTCCCGCTGCCGGGGCCTGCACATCCGCCCGGCCGCCACCGCGCTCTTCCCGCCTCCGGCCCGGCCGCGGCCCGCGGGGCTGAGGAAAATGGCGGGCGGTGCGGCGCGGGGCGAGGCGGAGGCCGCGGCGGAGGCCGCCATTCCCTTCCCTGCTCTCCCTTCCCTTTCCCCTTCCCGCCCCCCCTCACTCTCTCCCTCCCTCCCTCCCACACCACCCCCCCCACCCTCCCCCCCCTTTCCCCTTCTCTCCTTCTCCGGGCCCGGCGCGGCCTCACCTGAGGTCTCGTCGGCCCCATCGTGGTTGGAGTTGAGCTCCTTCTTACTGACTTTGGCCGCCGGCGCCGACATGGTGGTGGCTGCGGAGCGCGGAGGGCGGGGGGGGGCCGTAACGGGACTGAGCGGGGGGAGAGGAGGGGAGGGGGGGGGGCCGGGCGCTGACTCCTCCTGCTGCTGCCGCCGCCTCCTCCTGCCGCCGCCGCCGCTCAGGCTCCCTCCTCCTCCTCCTCCTCCTCCTCCTCCTCCTCCTCCTCCTCCTCCTCTCTTCTTCTTCTTCCTCCTCCTCCTCCTCTTCCTCCTCCTCCTCCGGGCCGCTCCCGCCTCCTCCGGCCGGACCTGGAGCTCCCGGGTAGCAGCGGCGCCCGCGCTGCCTCACGCTGCCCACAGCCAGAGTCGCCGCCGCCTCCTCTTCTTCCTCCTCCTCCTCTTCCTCCTCCTCCTGCTGCCGCCGCCGCCGCTGCTGCTGCTGGCGAGGGGCGGGCGGCGCGGCGCGCATGCGCAGCAACCCCCCCTCCGGGGCACGGGGGGGACGGCGGGCGCCAGCGCGCATGCGCACCGAGCCCCCCTGCCGGGCGCTGGGCGGGCGGGAGGCGCAAGGCGCAGGCGCGCCCCCGGCTGTCCCCTCCTCGGCAGCGGGAGAGCGCTCCCGCCGCGCGCACGCGCGAGCGCCGCCTCTCCTCCCCGCCGCGGGCTGCCCGCGCGCGCAGCCGCGGTCAGGGACAAGCCCCGCCCCTCCCTCCGCCGCCGGCCGCCCCACGCCGGGCGCTCATTGGCTGAGGCTCGCGGGGGGCGGGGCGCGGCGCGGAGACACAGAGGAGGGCGCGAGAGGCGGGAGAAGAGGGGAGGGGGGGAGAAGGGCGGCGGCGCGCGCAGGTGTGCGGGTGAGGCGCTGAGGCGGGCGCTGTGCGCATGCGCGGCCGCTGAGGGCGCACGCGGCGGCCCCGCTCGAAGCCGGCTCAACGCCTCACGGCTGCCCCCGTTCTGTGTGGGGACGGGGCCGGTCGCCCTGGTGGTGGGGGCTGGCCGAGGTCTCCCTGGAGAAATGTGTACATAAGCATATATGTGTGTGTGTGAGGGGCGTTTGGAGCCCATGAACCCAAAGTGGCACTGCCCCGAGCCACCCCCCCAGCCTGCCACCAGCATCTCTGGTGCTGTGAGGTGAAGTCACGCCTGGGGACGTGGCAGCCCCTCTGTCAGGGCGCTGCCTTGCCTAGCTGGAACATGACTCAAAGGGATAACTTCAGATGTTACATTTTAAGGGCACAGAGGCCCTGTCAGTCACATCCAGCCCACTCGGTTACTGTGGGAGCACAACTCTAGAAGGTCATTGAGCCCGGGCCTCTGCCAGCACACCTGCCACTGCACCGAGAGCAAGCGGACTTTAAATAACCCTTTTTGTGCCTTTCCTGTCCACCTGTCGTGGAAGAAGTTGCAGCCTCATAGTTAGACTAGCTCTGTTTTGCTCTTAAAGTAACAGCTGAGCCACTCTTTTCCATTAAAAATGCAGCATATCCTTCACAAACGAATATTATGGTACAGATCAAGCCAGGAAGCAAGTACAGCTTTGAGGAACTTGGAACTTGCCTTTTGTAATTTGTTTTCCAGTCACACAATATTCTCACATTCTCCCTGCCTCTATTTCTTTTCCTCCTCCTCAAGTTGCCCTTCTAGTGTACTTTTCAGCAAGGCCTGGATTAGTTCTCAGAGCTCTTACTGGAGTTTCCTGATTCCCGTTCCCACCTGTTGCTTCCAAACCCCAACTGCTTTTTCTTTTGTATTCCCAGCTGTCACTTCCCACCAGCTATGTCTTTGCTTCCATCACCACCCACAACCGCTGCAGCATGTCCGTGATTTGCATTGTGCTTCCCCCTGCAAACAGCAGGAGAGAGGAGCTGCCGTCCGTTCATCCTCTGTGCTTGCCCATACAGCAATGAGCACTGCTAGACACAAAAGGAGAGCAAAGCTCTGCAACTTTATCAATGCAAGATTATCGACTCCTTCCCTAGAGCTTCCCAAGGCCTTCCTGAAGCTCAGTGCAGTGAGAAAGCTTCTCATGCTCTGGTTGCATCTCCCAAGAACAATTAATACGGATGTCTTCACATTCAGACAAGGTAAGCTCACAAGTGCAGCTTGGTTTTCTTCCATCTGTTTACCTTGAATCTCTTCACTATGCTGCTGCATATTCTTGGAATTTTCCTCTTTTATCACCTGTAATGTACTATTATATTGTATTTATTAGCCTTTGAAGGTCCACAATTTGAAAATACAGCGTGTGTATTTGAAAGGCAGTTCCAAGAAGGTACATGATCAAAAAGACATCTGCTTACTCCCTACTAGAATCCTTCTTTGGTACATAAAGCAGTAGATATTCCTGAGGTATTAGTATGTTCCACTGATGTATTCAAAGTCAAGCAGTCATAAATTTTAACTGCCGTACTGTTTAAAACATTCAAGTGTTGTTTATTCTACCCTAAAACTGTTATGCAAGAAAACAGTATATTAATTAGAGAAAATAAACACTTTTTAATATATTTGAGACAGAAAATACTAAGCCATGCTTTTATGTGTTGAGAGAAAGCCAAAAGTTCAATTTTTATAAATTTGTTAGGAGTGAGTATTCTCTCACGGTACTACTTTCCTTTTTTATTTGATTTCTTCAATTTAGTGCTGCTGATGTGCTGTACCCAGCTTCCTAATGGAACTTTTGTCCTAACTCTTCCTAACTTCTCTTCCCATCAGAAAACTGATATTAACATTCTTACTTCTTTCCCTCCCTTACATATCCTCATACTCCAACTGACTGGTTAATTAACAGCCTGTCGTTTTCCCTTTTCAAAGGGAACCTCACTTAAACGTTCAACTGTGGTCTAACTTTAGGTTATACTTCATACAAAGTCTGAAAACAACAGGTGCCGAGATGCTTCTTGGGCTTGGCTCAAAGAATTCAGCAACAATTCACAGAATGGTGCCCTCTCTGCACTCCCCTTCTTGCTTTATAGAGAAATAAAGAAGTAAAACTAAGCCACTGAGTTAGAGCAGTTGTTGAGCCCTAAGAAGGATGAGTGCAGAGCACCCAGAGGCTTTTGCAGCTGAATTGATTTACTGTTTGTTCTTGCTGCATTGTTAACATGTACACTCAGGAGGAACATGACTCAAATATTTGTGAAGAAGCGAGCAGAACAATTTTCATCTCAGTCTGAAACTGTTCCTCTGTGCAAGCATCCCAAAGCTCATGTAGTTTCATTACAGAGGAAGGAAAATGGCATCTAGGTCATATAAAGCCTTGGTGTTACACGAGTTACCTGCTGTTACACAAGATTTTTCAGAAATTACACGTGATGCTTAGACATAATATGCAACTGCACTTAATATCCATGATAATATATAAAAAAGAAACAGAAAAACTTCTATGTTCTTGTAGTTGATAAATATTCACTTTCCTTCACTGCTTTCTAATGTTTTTTTCATTATACGTAGTGAACATCTAAAGCAGTTTCAGTCCTTGAGTAACTGCTGAGGGGTTAAAATGTACGGTTACAATCCTCTGAAATAAGGTGTATGTGAATGCATTTTAAAAATATGATTTCTTCCTCCCCTCACCTTCTCCTAAGACCTTTCTCAGCTCTGATTACATCAAATATAGCAGAACAGTAACTTTTTTTTTTCCTGATTACAGTGCCCAAGCACTATGCTACCTATATCACAGAGCTCTTTTTCCTTAATATTACAGAATTAATATTCCCGCTCCTGTTTGAACTTCAGATTGCATGGTTCAAGTCAGAAGACTCTACTGTATGTGGTGTCTTCCAAACCAAGTGCATGAGTACTCCAGTGTTGACAAATAAAGGTCTTAGATCTTTGCAGCCTTCAGGATGGCAGCAACTGTCAGATAAGTGAGTAAAATGTGTTCGTTTCCCTCTCCGTATGTTTGGACGTCTAGAGGGGGGAGTTGGCAGCACCTGATAACGATTAATAGCCTTATAGTTTACACAGACTGTAGCAGTAGTTGCACTTTGTTCACAGGGATGAAATAAACAGAGCCTCTTCATAAAGATAATCTTATATTTACTTCTTGTTGCAGAAGTTCGGCTCTCCCAGTATTTCTTTCCTTCGTTAGGTATATTACTACAAGACAGAGACATAATTGGTAATCGTGCCTCGTTTCTGGAATGTCAAGTCAGCTGTACCTGTTAAACATGCACCCCTGATTTGGCAAGTTGAGTCAGAAAATATGCTAAATCCTCACAAATAAAATGTAATGATGTGTGAAAAAGAAAAGGAGAGTAAATTTCCTTCTAAGCATTCCTGCCATGTAAAATGGGCAGACATAAAATCATGCAAGTCGGTATAATTAATAGCAACTTAAATTTTTATAGCCATTCCATCTGAAAGAATCTCACAGCCTTTACAGAAATTATTGTATGGAAATACAAAACAAGGATCGTTTTGCCACGGTTGAAATGCAACCGACTGCTTAACAATTGTACATCTATGCTGGAGCCTGGTCTTCCACAAAGGACTTGCATGCTCAGGCTCTGTATTAGGAACAAAGATACCCCTTGCACTGCAAGACAACATTTTTTAGAGCGTATGAAAGCTTTTAAATTACTGAGTACACCAATGAGTCGAAAGCTGCAAAACATTTCAGGCGCACATAAGCTTGTGCTTGATAGTAAAGTCTGACTGACATATCAGCGCTTACTCTAAGCAGCAGGCAGAGACACACCGGCTGGTTTGCTGCGTGTAATCAGTTTGACAGCCCCCAGGAACTGCTGAGTCCCCATGACCCTGGAAAGACAGTTTGGCACATATATTAAACAGTCAAATAGCTCCCCTCCAACTGTTTATTCATCTCCACTAGTCACAGGCCTTCCCAGTCGAGTACTCGCATTAGGTCTGAATGGTTAGATAATGATGGAAGAATCTTCCACGTGTCCTCACAGTTGTTGCAATCTAAACCCTCACATGAAAATATTTCTGGATTAATAACTGCCTTTGAAGCTGGAAGGTGGTTCAGTAACACAGACAGCAGGGAGTGACTAATATTATATATTTGAATAATTCCAAAGATTCTGTTTGGATTTTTTTTTTCCCTTAACTCTTGGCAAAGTTCCCCTGAGACATAGTTGTTAAACCTGACTTTTATTTTTTCCTATACCAACATTTTTAACTTACCAGAGATCTTGACAGTAATCTATGAAGAGCTGGACGGTCATATAACACTTCTTCTTGTTCTCAGACACCAGAGACAAAGAAGCCGTCAAAACATTTTTAAAAGTCTTAAAAAAACAAAACAAAACAAAACAAAAAAAAAACTTCAAAGCCAATGAAATCTAAGACAATTCTGAGCACAAGACATAAGCTTTTCAGATATGTGGCTGCATATGAATGTTTTGCTTGTATTTTTCACATAAGGTGTACAGTTGTGGACAGTGCAGGGAACTGAAATGATCTGTCCCTTCCAGAACGTAAAGGGAAAATTGTTTATTGGAAAATTCTCTTCAAGTTACATTCAGTATTATGAAATTAAGAGTCCCTGCCCAAAGAGACTTTTGATTGGAGGAGTTTCTTACCCTTTTTAACTTTCATTCAGCTTTTTTACGTCAGACATTCATGTTGTCCTGTTCCTTAGCTCAGATGGAGCCCTGTGGCTCTAACTTTTGATTGACTGTGCTAAGAGACATACACATAAATGTTGTTATTCATCTAGCACTACTGAATTGCAGTTTCTAAAAGCAAAAACATTTAAATATCAACCTGTCCAGATGCGCTATCACCACTTCCAGATGTGGATATCCATTTACTTTAGCCTGAGGAGTTCACAGTTCAAGATGAGATCTGAAATACACGAAAGTTTCTGTTTGAAAACATGTATTGGCACATGCAAAGGCGGCTCTTTGCTATCTGCAGCACCTGCAGGGCGTTATAAGGGCAGATACTTAGATCACCTCGATGCATTCACACCTGCAGATGTTCAAACCCTACCAGTAGGGATACACAATGCCTGGTTTTGCAGGACAGTATTAGGGCCAATCCATCTGGAGGACTTCAACCAAGCTTAATACATCTAGAAGAGTTCCACAGAAAATGCCTGAAAAAACAGAGGCTATTTGCAATCATCAAGTGATTAAATAATACCTCTTGTGGTTGGTTTTATATTTATGTTTGAGGCTTTCTTTTACTACATACACGCCTGCCTAATGAAAGCTCTAAATAAAAGTTGAAAAAAGTAACTGCTTACAAGAAGTATTCCTGGGTAGAATGATCGATCATTAATAGGGACACTTTCAAAGTAAAACACTACAATAATAATACTGGGAGTTATTCTGGAATAGCTGTGCCAACCACATTTTTATGTGGAAGGCCCTGAAATAATTAACAGGAGAAGGAGCTGCTAGCCCTTGATTTTGGCTCTGTTTAAATAAAATCCAATTTCGTCACAGCTAGGGTGGAAGCTTGAGTCCTTCTAACTAGACATAGGAGATCTGGATCAAAATGGGTGGAAATAGCAGTGCTATAAATGTGTATGAAAGCTGAATCAGAGCTTTAGGATAACTAAGCAGTGGGGATAGAGTGATGCTGAGGACATGGAAAACTATATTTTGTTCTTCAGGGGGGTTTTCTGCCAGGAGACCTTCAGATGATAATCTCTCTCTTTTCCACTTGTGGGAAAATTGAGAAGGACCCAACTTTTCTACAAACAGAATTTACAAACACTTGCTTTCTAGGATTTTAACTCTGGCCAATTCCTGCAACTCCTACTTATTTATAAGAGTTTAACAACTCTTATTTATTTCCTCCGTCCTATGACAGAAAGACTCTTGCTGAATCCTAAACAAAGTTGAGTAACACTTCAAGTTCTGGCCCCTCAGGAGGAGCAGTAAAGACTCTAATTTTACACTATGCATGTTCTGTCCCATTGTCTTGTTACCAAGCAGCAGCTGTTTTTGTGGGAATTGTGAGCCTTCCCTTGCTACAGAGAGCACTATCGATATCTGAACTCTCAGGGGGAGTAACCTCTGTTTCTATCCAGGAAATATCAGATTAAAATAAACACACTGAACGTTGCTCTGTGAAGAGCGGGTACGTTATTTACAATCCTTTAGTTTCAAGTTGGCATTATTCAAACATTTGATGTGTGCCTTGAGTCTTGTGTAGGAGTTCAGTGACAGAAAAGGTGAAACAAAAAGGAGGAAAATAGGGAGAGATCTGTCATATACAATTTTTGTTCTAATACTACATTGTACGCATTATTCTTGTCATCTGAGAATGTCAAAGCTCATTAAAAAATGTAGTTAAATATAAGAAAGCTCCATGAGGAAAATAATTCCTTTATTGGTAGGTTAACTGAATGCCAGAGTCATTCAGTTATTCCTCATTAGAACCAGACAGAACTCAGGAATAGAACTAGTCTCCAGCTTTGGCTACATAAAATGCTGTACAAGTTGCCAACAATGAAGATCTGCAAGTGGAATTTGGTTAATTGTGTCAGTCTGTAGGAACGCTTATTATTTTTTGGTATTACAATAGCTCCAAGAGTCCTGAGAGCTCTGCAACTGTGATCCCTTTGCACAAGGTGCTGGCTGAACACAAAGCAAAGAGGTGCTTCTGGCTTCAAGAACAAAGTCTTTCAGGAAATAGTTTGACAAATTTTTTTGGTAGAAGTCTCTACTTCCTCATTCCCCACCACGCACTCCTCCATTCCTCTTGTTTTCCCCTTCATGCTGTTCCTGAATTGTACCAATGCAATTATTTGTGTAGCCCCATGTTAAACTGAACCAGGAAATGGATTTCAATTAAAACTAGTCCTCAGAAAACTATTTAACTCAGGCTAGCGCTCTGATCTGTGCCCTGCTGCAGATGCATGAGGAATGTTACAAGAAATGAGGTCCCATAAAGGCAAAACCATGTCAAACCATGCCCTTAACTTAGCTTTACCAGGACAGGGCTGCAACTTTACCTGGTGTGAAACAACATTTTGTTGTTAGCTTCGTTTAAATTAACACAAGCAAGCAGACTGTCAGTACACAAAATAACAGAACTGCTACCTCAGGTGATACTGTAAAGTTTTCAGAGTAGAATTTGCTAGCATTGCCAAAAAGTCATCCTTCCCCTTTCAGATTCAAAAATACCAACTCTCCGAAACACACAAAGGAAATAACCTTTAAACTCCATGTTTGTTTTTGCAGTGGCCTGACTGGAAAATAATTTCATCTGCCTTTAAAAAGAAAGCTGGGGGGGGATGTAAAACAAAGTAGAGACCATTTCCCTCCCACCACAGTTGTGCATCTATTATCTGACTCACCACTTCTGGGATTCCTTCTGGCAGCACTGGTTTTATTGCACTGAAAATTCAAGAGTGTGAAAAATATTCCCTATTTTCAGATGACTCTTCTGTTCTCTGTTTCGTTCAGGTCAGCATCCCTTCCTTTAGAGGTTTGGAACTAAAGCTTCAGAAAGTGCTGTTCTTAAGCCTTGTGAGAAGCACCAGCACAGCAGAAGGGGGAAGGGAGAAATGAAAGGGGAGGAGAGTCCATATCTGAAGAGAGACTCCAGACTAGAGAAATTTTACTGACATCCATTCAGTATCCAGCAGGGACTCCTTCAAGGGCTTTTACTGAGATCCAAAGACTCGGGCAATTCACAGAGGCATTTACATGCCTTCTGGGAGCTAAGGTATAACTGTACTCCTGGATAATAATAACAAAGAATACTACCAGACTCCTATTGAAATGTCAACCAGGCACTACTGTTCTAGAGAGTAACAAAGAGATGCTAATATAATTAATTATGAAGCCTCAGTACCCTCATTAACACTTCTTTAGTGCCCAGATCTTTGAAAATCAGCTGTATAAAGTGACTGGCAGAGTTAATTCCTTATAAATTGCCTCCTGTCACATCCCAGCACTGCAGCAAGTTCTCTCAGGCCTTGTCGATGCTAAGAAATCTGTTGGGTGTGTTTTTCTTTCTTTTTCAAGTACTGATGCAGTTGTACTGGTTCTTAAGGTGTACGCTGTTGAATAAGCAGGATTTTGTCAGGATGGAACAGAGCAAAACAGAAATACCTTTAGACAGCCCCACTTCCATAACTGGTAGCATAAATAGGAAAAGTTTGAATCACTTAAACGGAAAACTAAGGACAAAAGAAAAACAGGAATGAGAGGTGTCACATAATTTGGCATTAAAATTTCCGGACTTTTCATTAAAAGTTTCCGGACCTTTCTTAAATTTGAGGATCGCAGCCAGTTTCTGGTGCTCTCTCCATTTACTGCCTTCACAACAGCATTTCAGCTCCAGGCCTCATTCCAATGCATGCTCCCTCCCAGCCACTCCCGCGTACAAATATATATTTCAATAGGCTTAGGCTACACGGGGTTCCAAAACCAGCATGTAATTGGTACAATTGTCTTTTACGCTTCTCCACAGAGAGCCACATTCATGCCTTCTTCAGCCCTGCTTTGTCATGGCCTCACTCCCTTTTTCTTTAAGTTAGACTGGGATCAGTACTCGTGTTTTGGAAACCTACACAAACACTAAAGAAAAAGTCACACAAACTGGCTGTGTTCATAGTTCATTCTGTTATTTCTCAGTCCCATTCATACTCCTACAGGATATAAATGCGCGATCTTTTACAGGAGATAAAAAGAAACTGATCATTACAAATCACTCAGCATTTTTTGCAGCAAAGAAGCACCGAATGCTGACATGCCAATCTGCCTGTACAGAACAGTCTGCTTCCCTCAATCTTCTGTGTGCTTTTGAGAAGATGATAATCCTCTTGCAGGGCATAATTTTGCAGTTACCTGCATGTGTTTGTATAACGTGCTCCAGAACCCTTCGGGAGTCTTGCTATACATGGCATAACAGACTAATCAAAATAGGATATTTTATTTGCCATTTCAGAAGTCGCTTTTGCAGTAAGCGCAAGATGATTTTGCTGGTCTAGCTAAACTGATAGCGTTCACACTCTTTAAATGGAGGTGAAGTTTATATCAATAAAAGCAGTCCTTGCAAATAGGCCTGTCTTTTCTGCTGTATTTATTAACATCATTAGGAACATGATTTTATTCTCCACTCTTAGATTACGTATTTATAGCCCAGTAAAGCATTGATGTATTGATCATTGTGTTCCCATAAATCACGTGTAAGAAATTAAAGCAGCATGCTCTAAATTAAACATAAAGGTTTCTGAAGAGCAATCAAGAACTATCATGCAAATTCCATTTGCTTTCAAAAATATAAATTTGATGGGATTGAGTAGAATGTAACTACAGATCTCTGAACGTCCTTTTAGAAACAACACTTCTGCAAAGGATAGCCAGTTCTGTTCACACAAATAAAACCTGTCTGCAGTGCTTTTTGAGACAGTCAGGTGCTTTATACATACCAATTCATGTTCCAATGACAGTTTGAGATACTTTAGACATAGTCGGTGTTGATAAAGTGATTTAGAGAACAGATAAATAATTTTTAGTCGTGCGTGATCGCTGAATATGGAATTAATTTAAGGAATCACCGTGTTTTCTTCCCTGTTGTCAGCGCTGCGAAGGGTCAGCTACCGTTTAAGGGTGGCATGCCAGATTGTAGATTTGTTTCTGAAATTAGACGGTGAGCATGCTGGTATAAACTCAGCAGGAACTAGGGGATGCTGTGTCTAAAAGCAGAGAGACACTGCCAATCACCTTGTTGACAGTGTCTTGCCTCTGTCCAAGGCAGAGGCTCCCAGCTGCCACTGCATTTGGGGCACCACGACAGCCAGGAACTGGGATCCCGAGGCTTTCACAGATGCCTCTTTCGATATGCCACGGCTCTTGGCCCCGTGCCAGCTCCTACTTGCCATTCAAAATCTGCCTGCATGGAGCCTTTGCGCCCCTGTGGTGGTAGCTTGCTGACACCTGCAACAAAGCACGCTTTCCCTACGCTCCTTCTCATTTTGGTCACATTTTGACTTGAATCTCCTATTGTCAATGTGGGAATGACTGTGTGACAGGCGACACCTGTACTGTGCATGAAGTCATACCCATAATATTTGTAAGGTTTGAAAGGGACCCCCTCCCAATGCTAATTCTACAAAGCATAGCAGATCTCTGAGTAATGGAAATGGATTATTTTTATAAGATATCACACAAATCTCTGTGTAACTACTTCAGAAACGAGCCAATGTGTTACTTGCCAAAATTCAGAATACGGTTTTCAAAGCAAAAAGGGCAGAGCATTTGCAGAGACAGAAGGGACAGGGAACAGGAGGTCAGAAGTTACAGAAAGATGTATGAGCCCTTTATGAATGACACTGGAGAAGCAAGAGCTGGAGGATTCACACAGCTTGAGGTAACACTTTGAATCCACGCAAGGACCTGAACTCTCATTAAGCTTCTGAGCATCTGGCTGGCTGCACAGACACCGTGTTCTGAACACAGCACAGTTGTGGTGACCTTTCTTTCCTTCAAGTTTAGTGAATGTGTGAACACCTGATTTTTAAATCAGGGATCTCTAACTAAAAGAAAAAAAGATCTGTACATTAGCAATGCATGCACAAAATACCCGTCAAATAAATCTGGAACAGTGCTCTGCCATTTAGGAACTTAGGTTCTGTTTTTAATTCTGCCATAAATTCCCAGCATGGTTTCGTACGTCATCCAACCCTTACCCCTAAAATATCCCATCAAAAAACGGCACCAGCAGTTCAGTACCTCACAGAGCTGGCAAGGGTAAAATAAATGCTTGTGGTGTGATCGGAATGCAAGATAAGAAGCATCACAAGTAAGAGCACAGATAAGCAGACTTCAGAAAACTCATTACTACTGGTCCTGCATTCGAACTCCTCAGTCACCACCTCCACTAGCACGATAGGGTGCTACTATCACTAAACATTTTCCAGGATGGCATACAGCAAGCTATGGGTGAATTCTAAAGGAGTATCCTTTAGAATACCACTGCAGATGTAAGGGGCTTTCCACTGAATGTCCTTTTGGGTAGTATCTGCTTATTTGTCCTCTTACCTTTCACACTTGTACTATCTTGATTCTTCTTCTCAAGGGATACTTCCATTTCATGCAAACCTCACGGCCTCTAGGTCGATAGAGCAACCAAACCTTACTCTAAAGCAAATGACACTCAAGACCTGGTTCAAAACAGTTCAGAAGTAACTGATCGGGTACTGTCAAGCACAGAACATCAGCAGAAAGCCAGTTTAACCTCCGTGTTGCATACTCAGGCTAATTCAAAGGCAATGCAGTTAAGTACCCAGGTCTCAGCCAAACCAGGTTTGTCATGCTCTGCAACCTTGTTTGAAAGGAGCAACCAGGGAAATGGAATTAAGGCCTGCTGGTTATACCAGTTGGGAAAACAAGTGCATTCTGGAGTGACATGTTTCTTTCATATAAACCCTTTTTATTATTTGAAGAGTTTTGTTGCTTGGCTTTAAAAAAGAAATAAAATGAAAAGATGTAAAAAGTACTGTTCCCCTGAACAGAACCCATCAATCAGAGAAAGGCAATGCCTTTGATCCCATTTCAAGCCTCTCGCTGCCAATCTAAGCCCCAAGAGTTCTTTCTCATGGCCAGAAATTCCTTTCTCGTTTGAGCTATGCACGTCGGTTTCTTCATTCTCACTTGCATGTTTGGGGAGAAGGAAACAGGGAGAAAGGTGTAAATGGGAAAAGCTCAGCAATTTCTCTCTATTTTGGGTAGAGACCACTGTTTCAGCTACCTAGGGCCTCAACACAGTTCAGTTATTTCATTTACCACAAATAGAGGACAGCTACTGTACCCACTTATGGGTAAATTTTTAGCAAAATTCAGCCTAGAATATTTGGTTTGCACCAGGTCATATAAATTATACCCCCAGCATGTGTGCTTTGTTGTATCTCAGTCCTTTTTTTTTTTTTAAAATACTTTCTCCCCCAGTGCTTCTTCCCACAGTGCTTTCTCTTTACCTTAGTCTTCTCTTGTTCTTGTTTTCTGTTGCTGATTTGCTCCAATATGTAAAAGTGAAAACTTATTAATACTTTGTCTCATGAAACACAAAGAGAAAACAGATCAGCACTGTAGTAGTAACAGCCACTTTACAGACACTTAGCAGCCTCAGGCTAGTAAACCCCCTCCCCCAATTATCCTTGATTTTGCCCTATTTCCAGTGTAGCGTTACCACATCAGAACATTTGTGCATCTGATGTTGCCACGCCAGAAAGAAAACGCAAACTACAATTTATTTAAATACTGTTGATAAATTAAAGCTCCAGCAAATCAGAGATATTAGAATAATAACAAAAAAAATTAAACTACAATTACTTAGAACAGTCATCTTCTGGGGCTATTTGCTTGTTTGTCATCCTCGGGGGAAGAGAAGTCCAGACATGCACAATATTTTTGGGGAACACGTACTACATTCGCAGTAACTTTGCATATTACTTACTGAGAAAAAAACGTTGATTTATTTTTGCTCTGTTTCACATATTCAAATTCCAGTTTTCTTATCTCACTTTGCCATCTCAAAAACAAAACAAAAATTACAAAAAAAAAGCTTTTCTCTTCAGATTCACTCTGACAAGCTAAAGTTTTTAAACTGCAGTCTGTAGGATGCAAACTGTATATAAATTTACACTTGGAATATTTAGTCTACTACCAAACAGTAACGTGCCTTGGCAGTTCTAATACACCAATTAAAGATAATTTAGTGATGACTGAAGATGATCTATTTATAGATGATAAATCTTTCTTTTACGCTTTAGGAACTTCTTAAAAAAGCAACACACTATGCTACTGGGTTCAAGTATTTCATGCCAGTTATTCAACATAAAGCAAACCTGAAAAATAAACCCCCCTACTTCCTGCAGTGTAACTACTCGCAGCAGTGAAGTTATTCAAACAATGCTCACTTTACATTTTAACAGTGGTGTTGAACTTGAATAGAAAACAGATTTATTTCACTCATTAAGGGATGAACTAACTTGTTGCCGTATCTTCAAATACTTACGATACCTTCAACAAATCTGCTGATCTCTTAAAAAATAAACTTTTCTCCTGCCATACCAGGATTTCACCAGTGACACTACCAGAGCCACATCCATTCTCAGGAGCGCTTTCTCTGTATCCTGTCAGCTTTATTTTGACTTACAGACCCAGCTCCCTCCCTGCAATAGCAGGAATAGCTCTGCTCAAGTTCACGCATCCACGCCTGCTTATGCCAGGGCTAAATTTACCCTCAGCGTTCACCGAGAAGCTGTTCCAGCGGAGGTGCAATTGGAAAAACCCCTGTAAGCAGACATACCTGTGAGAAAGCGCTGCTTTAGCAGCCTGGCACACCGGGGAGCGTGGCTGCAGCCACAACACGGCCTGACCCTGAGGCAGGCGAGGCCGGGCTCTGTTCTGCCTTTTTTTTTTTTTTTTTTTTTCCTCCTTTCTGCCTTTTTTATCCTTTCTGCCCTGCAGCGAGGCGGAGCAGGAATCCCCCCACAACACAAAGCTCCGCAGCTCCCTCGCCAAACCCCAGCGGCTTCGCAGCGCCAGGGAGCCGAGCAGCGGGCTCTGCAGATCCCCCTGCCCCGTCCCCTCGGGAAGCGCACACCACGGCCGCCAAGCGAGGCGGCCAATTTCAAATTAAGCTTAATAAGGCACGAGCCGGCCCCGGAGGCAGCGGGGCGCTCATGGCTGCACCTCACGGGGGGCGCCCGCGGCTCTGCAGCGGCCCCGGGGGCGCGGACCGCGTGGTCCTGAGCGCTGCGGGGCTTCTGCGAACAGCGGAGCTCTCCTCATGCAGCGGGTCTCCCCTCAGCCACCAGAGCTCCCCTCCGCCATCGCGGCTCTCCTCAGGCAGCGGCTCCCTCACGACGCCCCCCCGGCGCCATCTTAAGTCCTGGCACCCCCTGCCCGCGCCGCCCCTCATGTCTCCAGCGGCGCCCGCCGGCACCCAGCGTGGAAACGGCCGCACGGAAGGAGAAATCCCTGCCCAAACACCACGGCGGACTCGTCCCCAGCACAGCCGCGGCTTTCGCCAAGAAGCCAGCCGGGACGCCCGCCGGCAGCCACCTCGCTCCCTTCTCCGCCACGAGCCCTCGTTGCCCTTCCCCAACATGGCGCGGCCGGCCTCACTTCCCGCCCGCGGTGACGTCATCGCGCAGCGCCTCGCCTGTCTCCATGGCAACGGCTGTGGGGGCCGCCATGTTGGCGGACGGCTCGGCTCCCGGTGCCGCGGTGCCGTCGCTGTGGAGAAGCGACCGGAGCCTGCGCTGCGAGGCGGTGAGAGGCACCCGCCGGGCCCCGGGGCCGCCCCGGCCCCGCTCTGCACCTCCAGAGGCCGGGAGCCGCCGGCATGGCCACAGGCGGGCGGCCCCGGTGCTGACGGGGCAGCGGCGGCCCGCTCTGCCCGCCCGGGGTCCCGGCGCCTCCCCTCCCTCCCCTCCCTGCTCTCCCCTCTCCTCGCCCGCCCGTCAGGGCCCGGCACCGACACCGGGGAGCTTCCCGAGGCTGCCGGGCCCGAGCTCGCTCCAGTTCGCTGCCTCAGCCCCTTGGCAGCTTTTTCTTGTCAGGCCCTTTGTGCAGATTGGCCCAGAAACACGCGTGCGGCTGCCACAAAGCCAGCCCGAGAGGCAGGAATAAACACTACGCTTGGCATCGTGCTCAGTTTCTGCTGTTGCCTGTGGAGGCTCGCACCCGGTTTGGTTTTGCTCATCCTCTGCGCTCCGTGCTGCAGAGCTCGCTGCCTGGATTGGAGCAGTACCCAGGCCTTGTGTCAGGCCTTGTGTCAGGTCGTGTGAAGGTGACGAACATGTCACTAACACCTGGAGAATTACAAGGGCACCCTGCTTTTAACCATGAACCTGAGATGTGCGAGCGTTTCTGAAAGTCTCTGTGGAGAGCTGGAAAAGGGAGGGTGCTCTGAATGCTTTGTGCGGCGCTCTCTTTCTGTTTGGCTTATAGTGTCTGTCTTCTCTTCCTAGAAAAGCTGCCAGACTGGGAAAATTTCTACAGCAGAAGCTGCGGTACAGTCGCAGACTAGTCAGGATGCCAGTGTACAAACGGATCAAAGTATAGATGCAGCCGAAGCCTTCCAGCAAGATGTCCAAGTAGATTACACTAGCCTTCTACTATTCCTTCAGAGAGTGGAGGATGTTGTTATCAAAGAGCTGAATAAAAACTGGACAAGTCATGCCTTTGATGGCTTTGAAGTGAACTGGACAGATCAGAATGAAGCAGTAAGTTGACGGCATGCAGAGTCTTGTCATTACCCAAGGAGAGCTGGTTGCAGTGGCTCTGACTCGTTAGTTCTGTTTCTTAACTGCTGTGATTATTCGTGCCAGATTCTAATAACTAAAAAATATTTTTTTTCCTGCCGCTTTCTCCCTTGCTTTTCACTTGCCCTTGCTTGGTAAGGCTGTTCCTGTCAGTGACTGTTGCAGCAGCTTTATGAGGAGGAAGCGTGCAGCTGGTGTGGGCTTATCTTCAGCTCCCAGTAGCCCCTTCAGAGCATGCCAGACGACGAGTTATCTAAGAGCAGTTGGAAGTCAGTGATTTGGCAGCTCTTCCTGTTTAGATTATATTTGTTTAGTGTACTGTGTTGAAGAGTGGGAGCAATTTGTATCCGTCAGTACACGCTGGTACAGTCATTTCCAAATCATTTCTGGTGAAGCTTAGTGAGGGCAGAAATCATAAAGGGGGCCGGCCTGTCGTAAGTTCTCATGGTGCATCCCTCCTGACTTGTCATGCAGACCCTGATGTGTGCACTCTACCGGAGGTGATTATCAAGGGATGGTTAATTTGGTAGGGTCACGTGTTTGTTTTTTTTCTTTTTCACATGTAATTGCTACCTTGATAGACAGGAAGCCTAAACTGTAACCATACAACCGTATCCAGGGACAGGCACAGATCTCGTTTCGCTGTGTTCAGAGATGATTGCTTCAGTGCTTGAATTTGATCTCTTCCAGGTGCTGTGTTTGCATACGTTGTCATACCCCGAGGCTCAGGATCAACACCTGCAGGTTACCAGCATCTCGTGGAATGCAACTGGATCCGTTCTTGCATGCTCGTATGGCCGGTGAGTATCCGACTGGCTTTGAGAACTTAACTGAGGTCGCTGTGACATTTCAGGCTGACCTGAGATTTCCATATGTTCCCTTTCTCTGCAGTAATCAACTAGATATAAACACATCTTGTTCATGTTAAAAAAAACAACACCCTTCATTCAAAGAAAACACATCTCAGGGCAGTCTTAAATTATGGCATTTATGTCTTCTACTTTTTTCCATGTGAAATGGATATGTATGCTTTTACTGATCTGTGTCTAGATAGATTCTGTTTGGAAGAGGAATGCAAACACGTTGCAAATGTAGGTGGGTGAGCTTTGAAGCACATACTTGTGTTCGTTGAAGATCGTGTTGTTTTAATGTGCTCTCTTAGCACCCCAGCTGAACCTGCCACCTGTTCATGTGTGCCCCTGGTGCCGTGAGCATGTGCTAACAAACATTTAAGAATCTCTGAAATGAAGGTTGGACAAAACGTTCATCTAATCTAGTGAACGTCTGTAACAGCGTCTCTTTTCTGTACCTTACCGTTGCCCTTACTCAGTTTTCTTTCTACTATTGTTTCCTTAGACTAAAAGCCGTGGCAAAAAGTGAATCCATGAATGAGGGGATAGGGAAAAGTAAAACAGGACAAACCTGTGTGCTGCTTGCCCCTTCTGCTCTCCCAGTCTACAGCTATTGCCAGATTAGAATATGGTTTCTAGGTCTGTGGTTACCCTCAGTAGAATTCCCTGCTGTGAATTTATGCAGTCTCTCTGAATCTTTGAACTTCTGGCATCTACAACAGTCTTTAGTAAGGAGTTTCAAGCTCAACTGCACACCGTATGAAAAAATTGCTCCTTTTATTTACTCAGTATCTCTCCCAGTAAAAGAAATACGATCATCAAGTAAAAGCAGAAGCCAGGTTCAGAACAATTGCTTCCTGTCCTGGCTGCTCACTGTGCTGCAGATCTCTGTCCTCTGTATCAGTGCCGTGTAGCAAGATGTCACGTTGCTCAGCGTGCTAACAACAGGACACCCAGATCCTGCACGAAGGCCTCCGTCAGCCCCCCAGGGAGCTCTTTACCATTACCTGCACGTGTCAGAACAGCTTCTCAGATGTGCCACCTCAAAGTACCTTCCTGGTAGACCCCTCTACCTTCAGAAAATGCACTGCATTACAGCTGTTTGCTGGGATATAGAGTGGTTTGTTCTGCCCCCTTACATTTCGGTAAGCATGCAGTGAATGAACCAGCTCGAGCTAACAAAGCAAGCAGGGTGGCAGGTGTCTTTTAGTAGCCCAGAGAAGTAATTCCCGAAAGCCACCTGTGGCCAAGAATCATTTTGGGCATGAGACTGAAATGAAATCTGTAGACCTGGGATGTGTGATGTGATTTGTGCGGGGTACTCAACTCCATTTGGGGGTTGTGAAGAAGGCTCTCTGTTCCCATGGAGGCACCTGGACTTCAAATCATGCTGCCTAGCTCAGCCCCAGTCAGTCCGCCAGGTAAGACAGTTCCTCACGGTGCATTCTCAGACCCTGAGTCTTTGAGTGCTTGTTTAGAGGAAGAATGGCTTGCAAATCAGGCTGCCTGCATATCAGCAGCAATTTGAGCTCTCTGCATTTTCATTCCCAAGTATTCATAGGAACTTTCTGTGTGCTCTTCAGTTGTTCCCACAATTTGAATGGCTGGTAGATCTTGGCACAGTGAATCCATGTGAGATTTCCTGGCAGGCACGTTGTTCAGTCAGTGCACTGAGATGCACGGTGTGTATATGAGCCTTCAGAGATGTTGCATCACCTCATGATTCCTTGAGCTCAGTTTTCCTTCTAGCCACAAAGCAACACATGTATAAATGGGTGGGACATATCAGAGCTCTGCTCGGACTAGAATTCGCCTCATATCAGACAAATAAGGTGTAGCTTTCTCTTCTTTAGGTTGGCTTATGGGGACTGGAGCACAGAAAAATCCTACGTTTGTACTTGGAATCTGGACAGAAGAGGGTTGGATCCAAAACACCCTGACCTAGTGGTGGATGTTCCCAGTTCTGTCCTGTGCCTGGCTTTCCATCCCTCCCAGCCTTCACTGATAGCTGGTAGGTTCGATCTTACGTGCGATTTACCCTTGTTTCTTCAGCTTGGATCAGTTTTTTCTCTCTCTCTCCCCCTAAGATTCCTTGTAACAGTAACGGCATTGCAGCTCCACACCCAGAGGAACCAGCGCTGACAAATGCACTTTGGCTTCTGAACTGGGAGCTGGAACTCACTGCATTTTTCAGTGACATCTGCCTTTATATCAGAGAGATAGCTTAGAGAGAGAGAGAGAGGCAAATTCAGCCCTAGCTGCGAGTAGGAGTGTACTTACCTTGGTAGAGACGCATTCTCTTCCACCAGAGCTGACTGTGCCCTCTACGGCTGCCTTTGAAGTTGTGGGGCTTGTTTCCACCAGCGCTTCATGGCTGCATCTGGCACACTTTGGGCTGAGGGCTGCAGTTCCCAGGACACCAGCCATGCTGGCAGCGAGAGAAGTTCCCCCAGTTCTGCTCTAGCAACAGAGCAAACTGCCCGTGGCATTGCTCGTGCTGTGCACTATTGGATCTCACATGCTTATTGGTATCTTGTTCCTCTCAGGTGGCCTGTTCAGCGGGGAGGTGGTGGTGTGGGATACCAGCAGAAGAGAAGACCCTTTGATCTGGAGGACGGGGCTGACTGATGACACTCACACTGATCCCGTCTATCAGGTGAGAGAACACCCACAGTAGACGTGGCTGGGGGAGGAGAGGGTTGGCAGTGCCCTATTTTATACCTTCATTTCGTGTTCACCTTGTTGGCACTTCACCTGAAGCTCTCAGGCCGCTGTGTTCTGTTTTGGTTAAATATTTTTCCCTTGCTCTAACACCTGAAGTGGCAGTTGTTGAATCAGACACTTTCTTTGTAAAAATAACTTCTCGTTGTTCAGGATAAGTGAAGAGTAGGCCTGTTCCTGTGCTTTACCTGTTCATTGGTGCAGACAAAGCCAATGTCTGCACCTGTCTAGCAGCTGTCTGTGTGCCAGCTCCCGGGGAAGTGGGTTTGGTACCGAGGCGACCGAGTGCCACCTGGCTCTGCTGCCAGGTTGTCTTGCAGGACTGGGTACTGCAGGCTGCTGAGGGGGCGGTTGGTTCTGGCAGTCCCCACTTCACGAACTCCTGACGTTTGGAACAGGTGAGCTGGTTACCTGATGCCAAGCACAGAAACCACGTCCAGCTGCTGAGCGCATCGACAGACGGAAAGGTGCTGGTGTGGAGGGAGGAGCGTGACGGGCAGCTGGCCTTGGCTGAAGGGTTTGCGCTGGTGGCTCAGCAGATCCCTCGTATTGCTCAGCTGAAGAAGGTGAGTTCAGTGGCTCAGCAAAGCCTCATCTAACAAAAACACTTCAGCTCTAGAGCCCGGGTGGCAGACTTCGCCCTTTCACATGAGAAGGGATAGGAAAAGCCCCCATTTTGAATGCAACCCTTGGTCCCATCTCCCTTCCCGGACTGAAAATCATGCCTGCAAAGACTGGCAACAGCTGAGGTTTTGCCATGGTCTAAAGTTGCTGGGATGGAGAAGAGACGTTGCTTATAATAATACTTCACCCAAATCCCATTGAGGGTGGGGGCTGCAAAGGTTGAAGGCTGAGTAGAGAACATCTCAGTTGGTCCCTGACAGGCTGGTTCACGCTGCTCTGCCTGCACCTGCACTGTCAGGGCCCCCAGCGCTCACAACAGGTTTGTTTTTTTCTCCTAGCTCATGTGGGGAGAGGTGGCTGTGGGTGTGACCTCGCTCTCCTTTTCACACTTTGATCCCCGCATGTTCATTGTTGGTGTGGAAGGCGGCTACTCACTGAAGTGCTCCATGGCAGCAGAGACTCCGGCTCTCCACCGGACGGGTTCCTCGGTCCTGCTCAGGGCGCCAGCAGAGCTCGCCTTCTCCCCCCACGGTGGGCCGGTGTACTCCGTGAGCTGCTCCCCCTTCCACAGGCAAGTGCTGTAATCAAACTCTGCTGCACCTTGGTACAGGTCACTGCCTGGCTCTAAACATCCATTTGCAACTAACTGGGGTTTCGCATGTGTACAAGTCCCAAACAAGGGGCACCTGGCACCAGGAACTTGAGAAATAACTTCTTCCAGGACAACCAGCGTGCATTGGCTCTGGTGAAGCTGCACACTCAGGTACACTGAACGAGGTCAGAACAGGAGCAACACAAAACAGCATTTGCGTTCAGGCCAGCGTAGAGCATTAGCCCCTTTCTTAGATCATCCCATAATACTAAAGAGCAATTCGAAGTCAAGGGGTGCATCTCAATAAAGTAATTTACTTCATCAGGGCTGAGCTGCTCTGCCCGTTATGTGTCTTACTCATAGCTGCCTGAATTTAGCTGAGCCGCTCACATCTCTGCCTGCTGCTTACCCACCCTGGGAGAGGCTCCAAGCTGTCTTTCCATGAAATGTGCTGAGGGCCCAGGTCTGCAGTTACTTTGCATGAGACAAACGCCGCTAACAACGCCGGGCTCTAGTATCAGCAGTTCTCAGGCATCTCTGGCCCACAACCCACCACACTGAGTGGACAACATGAGCCCTCATTAAACTTAATTGCGAGTGCTAACAAAGCTGTGCTTCTACAGCCCACAGTCCCAGAGCACAGCATGGAAAGTGCTGCCATAGGAAACAGCCAGATACTGGCAAAATAGGAATAGTGGCCAAGGTCACGCCCCGCGAGTGAGTTTTGTTCCATGTCTTTAGCAATAAAGCCTACCAAGCTGTTTCTGGCCCCCCAGGAATCTCTTTCTGAGCTGTGGGACTGACGGACAAGTTCACCTGAACTCCATGCTGCAGACACAACCCCTCCTTTCGCTTCAGTTATCCAAGAAGTACCTCTTCTGCGTACGCTGGTCTCCAGTTCGGCCACTGGTCTTCGCAGCTGCTTCCGGGGAAGGCAAGTAACACTAGGTGTCTGTTCTCAGACAGAAAATTTATTTTTGTGCTGGGTATTAATTGATATGAGTCAATTGTACTGATTAGCATATTCCACAAGCAGAGAGCAACGACCATTGCTTGCACTGTGCAATTAGTGCAATGGAGTCATTTCTAACTCTAGCAAGATGACCTCAGGAACAGCTCTTCTTTACTTTCAATCATACCAGGTTGCTACAGCAGCTTACAGGGATGTAACGTGGCTGAAACTGATCTCTGGTCTCCTTGTTTTGACGTTTATTTCTAGAGCTAAGAGTATAAAAGAAGTAAACGGGATTTTTTTTCTTTAGAAAATTGCCCCAATATTTTTGAGTCAAGGAATGGAGATTTCACAAGAGTTTATCCAGCTGCTTTCAGGTCTCTGACAGCAGAGTAAATACGCACTGCCTTGCAGTGATGGCAGCTATTTGTTACAGTGTAGACATCATCCGAGGGAAGGGGGAACATGCTAAAAAGAACATCTGTAAGCGTACCAGACTAAGCAGATAATATTCTGCTGTTAAGTGCAAAGTCTGTTACCACGCAGCAGTCAGAAGTGTTTCTGTTTTACAGGAGACGTGCACCTGTTTGATTTTGCGAAGAGCTCCCAGAAGCCTGCTGTTTCCATAAAGCAGGCTGCGGCTGAATGCCCTGTGTACTGCTTGGAATTCAACATCAAGCAAACTCAGCTCTTGGCAGCAGGGGATGCTACCGGTACAGTCAGAGTCTGGCAGCTGAGTTCTGACTTTACGGAGCAGGGACCCAGGGAGATGACTCATCTGGAGCAGCTGGCAAGCGAGACCACAGACTGAAACACTGGAACAGCAACGGAACCAGCTGCGGGGAGCTTGTAACTACTCTGCCTCCACAAAAAGTTCCCATTCACCTGTTCCACAGCATTAACCTGCAAAACATGTAGCTATGGTCACAGCTGGAGTTTCATCCACATCAGTGAAATTTGCATTTAACCATTAAACACGAGATGATGTGGTTCGACCAGTAACTTTTATTGAAGCACACTGCAATGTTTGTTTTCCCTAAGAGTCTTAAGCTAAGCAGTTTAAGGTTACATCATAAAGAGACACTGATTATTGTAGAGCACAAAGAGAGAGACACATGCAGAGCTACAGTCAGCAAACGTGAGCATGTTCCTTGTATCGTTCGGTACTAGTGTTCTGTATCAATTCACAAAGAGTGAACGTGTAAATTCTATGTAGTCGTAGGCAGAAGGAAGTTCTCTGCCCTTGCCATCCATGTAGGGCTTCATGTGAGAAATGCAGTAATCGGCTTGTTCCCGGGTCAGGTTCTGAAAGACAAAGACAGCGCTGAGGTGGAGACAGGCTCTGAGGCTGCTGCTGGGCACAGACATGCAGCCCTCCCCCTTCCTGAGGGCACGCAGCTTGGAGCAGAAGCCAGAGCTCCAGAACTATGCCCAGCATGGAAATGTTCCATTTCTGTGCGTGTTAAAGGTTGGAAGGTCTGACACAAGTCTTCCCACCAAAGAGACTACAGAACAGGTAACTGATAGGAAGAAGAACAACCTCTTCATTTCTCTGCCAGCTGCTGGGGTTCAGGTAGGAGAAACTTCCCATCTTGGCAGGGCAGTGAGAGGAGGAGATGTTCACACTAAGTAAAGATGCTTAAATTTCTCCTTGGAATGATTGTCTGGAGAAACATCTCCCTCTAATCTCCCAAGTTGTTAGAGGAAAGCACCCTGTGAATGCACTCCCTTCTCAGGCCTTTGGGGAGCTCTTGTTTTACTCAACCCAAATAGTTCTTGGGCAGTTAAAGCTTCTCCCTCTGGAGAGCCAAGGAAGCAGAGGGATAGGGTTGTTCTGCATTTTGCAGAGGGTACCATTGCAGGTTCAGAACTGATTCTGCTACAGTAACATGAACTTCCAATTAGCTGCTCTTTGTTAACTATCTATGAACAAAAAGCCTCTATCTGTTCCTAGGGGCCACAACTGGTACGTACCTGGTAGAGCTCCTCCTTGGTCACGTAGGGCTTCCCTTCTGAGCTGAGGGCACGGAAAGCACTCTCAATCTCCTCGCTGGATTTCACGTTTTCTGTCTCCCTGCTGATCATAAACGCCATATACTCCTGCAGCGAGACGTGTCCATCCCTGCCGGTGAAACAAAACAGCGCATGAACGCTGCCATCCGTTACAATCCAGAAGAATGCAGTTCCCTCCTGAGAGAGGGGCTCTCCACAATAAACAAAAGCAAAGCTCTTGGCCTGTAAGAGACTTTGCAGCTAAACCCCACAGAAGATACTGATACCAAAGCCTGCAATAGAAACACAGAAGGTCCAATCCACGTACCTGTTGGGATCGACAGTGTCAAGAATAGACTCAAATTCGGGGTCTGGCTCTCCTTCCTCAACCATAGGCAGGTCGTAGCCAAGGGAGCGCAAGCAAGACTTAAACTCCTGGTGATTAAGTCGTCCAGATTTGTCCTTGTCAAAGTGCCTAAAAACACAAAACCAAAGCTCACATTCTTAAGCGTCAAATTGAGTGATTGACAGCTACACGCAGGGCTGAAAACTAGCACATGATAACCAGCCCACCATTCTGGACAAATGAGCTTGAATCAATAGACATTTCCTATCTAACACATGTAAAAATGAAAGCCTAAGTTCTTTGCTTAAAAAGCATCAAAACCCGACTATATTCCCATCTGGAATTCACTGGCACTCCTGGTTCCTACACTGCCGTGCCCACAAGTGAGCGTGCCCAGGAAAGCCTCGTGTAGCTGCGGCTGTGCCCGGCCAGCAGCGGGTGTATCCGAATCTCTGCCATCTGGCAGAGACGAGAGCAGCTCAGCACAAAACTGGGCAGACAATAAGGGAGCTGCAAACAGAGCAGTCAGAGAATCCTGTGAACAGGGGCCATCCACATGCCAGAAATATCTCACAAGCATTCCTCTGGCATGCGTTTCCTGCCACTCACTTGAACATCATGCTGAACTCCTTCAAGGCCTCCTCAGTGACTCCAGTCGTGTTTCTGTAAAGGAAGAAGCAAAGCTAGTGAACGGTTCCTGAACTGCAGAGCTCTGCTGGGGTCCCAAACCAGCCAGCTGCATCAAAAGGTGAGGACATGTGAGCAGACAAAACGTTCCATCACCACAGCCCAACAGAATAAATCAGCTCCTGCAAGACATCATTGCTAACAGCCAACAGGAACCACTTCAAAGACTGCTAACTTCATCCTGCTGAAAGAGCCAGGAGGTGGTGCAGATTGACAAGCAGCTCTCCAGGCTGCCACACACGAGTCAGAACACAGCTGAGGCTCAGCAGTGGCATGCAAGGCTCATTTCCAGACACACAGCTGTGTCTCCTCGTTTATCCCCCACCCAGGCTAGGCACACTTCACAGTACACGCGGGGTAGGGAGTACCGAGCTTGGATCTGCTGCTCCAGGTTGTGCTGCATTCTCATCCCCAGCTGGTCAAGCTGGTCCCACTGCTGCGCCAGCCCCACGGTGCTGTGCTCCGTGTACTTGTTGTCCAAGATGAGTGCCTCTTCCATGGCAGCTCCGAGGTCCTCAATCTTCTTCAGCTGGCTCCTCATAGCTCGGATCTCCTGGTGCTTGCGCTGCAAGGAGGGAGTAGGAGGATGAAATCAAGGAGTGAAAAAAAACACCTTAAAATGATTATGTGTAGAATATGGGCTGGCAGGGAAAGAAGGTTTATATTCTGTCTGCTGGGATTTTATGTATATATATATTTATACACACACACATACTGGGATTTGTAAATAGTATTCAGAATAACCTCTTTGTGCATGTTATTGGAAACCAACAGGGCTTGCAAGCCAGCTCTTGAGACAGAAAGAATAAACTCTTATTAGAAAACATGCTGAAAATATTGTATCCTCTTTGCCCTACCACAGCCATTTAGGAAAAAAAAAGATCAAAAAGGAAACCTTTATCAGAGTGTTGTGTAATGGCTTGGGATGTAAGCAGACATCGGATATGTAAATAGGTAATCCCCAAGGTTTCTTCAGTATTCAGAATATATAAAATCGATTCAGATTTTACCGTACAATGACATGCATTTTCATTCCCACCCGGTGTTCCCAAGATACCACTCAGGAGAGGTGTTTCAGAAATCGCTGAGCATCACTTACTTTAGTAGCTTCCAGCTGTGATTCCAGTGTTCCCGACTCCTCCACCATACAAGACCTAAACACAGAATCACAGTGAGAGAGAGCACTTCTCCCGTAAAAAATGGCAGGTGGGGCTTGAAATTAACAGTTCTTCCTTAAAATTAAAAATCCTTACAGCAGTATTATTCTCCTGTAAATATTTAAACACTAGTTTTGCGTTTTGTTTATTCTGACTCATCCTCTTTCAGACAGACACGTGTACATCTTCTTTGATTCTTATTTCTTTACGTAGTTAATTTCTAGCCCCATTTGAAAGGCAACACGATCAGCAGCCACACTTCATGCCAGATCCAAAGCACCCACTTTACTGGACCTAATGAAATTAGAAACTCGGTGCAGTCCCACCCCACCCCACCGTGCCCAGCACACACGCACACAAACTACGGGTGGTTCACCGGGGACAGGCTGTATTAGCCAGCAAGATACAGGAGCTCTACAGAGGTGTGTTACGTGAGGAGAAAATGGGGGAAAGACCTTGAAAACTACTGGCTTGGTTTAAAAGTAGTCTTAATACAGTATCATCACTGCAGAAAACGATAGGTCTCCCCTAGGCAGCAGTGGTTGATGGAAAGTTGCTTTTCCTGCCCACCCTCTCCCATCCTGCCCCCAGGGAAACTGAGGCAGGGCCGCTCCTCTCAGCCCAGTTCCACGCTGAGCACAGCAGCCCCCTGCCCTAGCACACACTGTGGTGCTGGGCTCCGAGATCTGCTTCATGTGGACTAGCTATAGAAAGTCTCGGGGTGTTGCTTTTTCCTCCCCAAATCCTGAGTAACCTTCAGCTATGTTCAGGAACCTCTGCCCTTCCAGCACGCACAGCGAGAGCTCTTACTGAATGACCTGTGCTTGGGCGCCGTGCTTTTGGTGTTTAAGATCCTGTCACTGTAAGGTTCCCATACCCACTGAGATCTACCCTACGTGCTTTTGAGCTTCTTGAGGAGGGGATTTCAAGTGCTGAATCACTCTGCAGCAATGAAAACGCACCAAACACCCGGGTGGCTCTCACCACGGGGTTAAGGCTCAGATTCAATGCGTGCCTAAGGAGATGAAGCGCGCGCCCAGAGCAGGAAGCTGGGAACCAACCACGGAAAGGAAAGAGTCAACGGGGAAACAAACCTCCAAGCATCTCTAAGCTGTGAAAGTTAGTTGGAAGGAAAGCGAGCCTTGGAATTAAAGAGTGCATTTGAAAACCAAAGTGAGGTAAGAAAATAAAGAGGAAAAAACCTTCCAGATAGATCATCCCCAACTTCATACTGATAGACACGAATGACACGACGATAGGCTATGCTAGTCAAAGAAAAGAAACCAAGTAAATTCCAAAAAGGAAGAAGAAAGAACAGAGGAAAGAACACACCCAAACACGGCCACTGCAGTGGAGCCACACTCCAAGCTAGCACCACCTTGCAGCAAACGTAAGCCACTGTTTAGTGAAATAATTCAAATGCTGGTCGCACACACACAATTGGTTATTTTGGGGTAAATCGCACAAAAGGGAGGGTCATTAAAAAAGAACTGAAGTTTAGCAGTTAATTCACCTACTGATTCTGTAAAAGCATTTTTCTTTCTAAACTCATCTTTCTGCCTCCCCTGCAGGAAGCCTCCTCCAGGCAGCACCGGGCACACACAAGCCGCTAGGATGCACTGAAAAGCCAGGTGCACGCAGGGCAGCTGCTAATATCTTGAAACTTCTCTGAAGCTCAGCTTTCCCTCTCACCAAGGCATTCTCAGTGCAGCCAATGCCTCTTTGAGCTAAGTCTGCATTTTTAATCTATTCACGCAGAATTAAGGACAAACTCTGCCTTGCGTATCAGCAGCCTTCTGGTAATTTGTTCAACAAAAGAGCTTGGC